GCAACACTGTTTCTGTGCATTTCCCTTCAGTCACTTTCTATCCTCTGTTAGGCCCTGAGTATCCCAAGATGTCAGAGGAGGACAAGATGGTATGTTTCCTTTCTAACCGGATATCACTTGTTATCGCATGACATGAGGCTCACGTTCATACACAGAACACTTCCAGCAAGCCCTTGGCGGGCCTTAATTCCCCTAACAGCCCCAGACCTGAGTCGCCGACTACTGCGCGTCCGATGGACTTCGATGATGAGCCCCAGGAGAGCGGAGTTATTACTTCCTCCCCTGCCGCTGCTCAGCCAGCTGCCGTCGAGGCAGCCCCGCCACAGCCGCCCCGGCCCCTGAACCCGAGAGAACAGTCGGAGAACACCCTTAGGGAGGCATTCCCAAGTATCGAGCCTGGTGTTGTTAAAGCGGTCTTGACCGCAAGCAATTGGAATGTCGAGCGAGCGTTCAATGCCCTCCTGGGTTCGTGGCGAAATCTACTATTTATGAAAGGAGTATGAGCTGACCCGACCTTTGCTTGCAGGTATGACCGACCCCAAGGCTCAAGAGGAAATGACACCGCCACCAAAGCCGCCGCGCCCAACCCAACAGAGCACCGCTGCACAGCGACAACTGGAAGCCGATGAAATGTATGCACGTCAACTATCAGATCACTACAACGCGGCAGGACGTCGCGCGCCGCCTCCGGGCTGGGAGAGTGACCCTCGATACCAGCGACCCAGAGGAAGCGAGGAGTCGGATGAGAGAGAATACAGCTTCTTTGATGGTATGGGATATGGTGCCTGGTCGAGTGAGCTTGTGCTAATTGGGTACAGATGATCTACCTGTGATCCGCGAAAACCTCCGCAAGGGTTTCCTGGAGACACAGAGCAAGGTTAACTCGTGGGTAACAAACCTGAAGAAGAGAATTGATGGAGATGATTTGGAGGAGGAACCTACCCAGAATCAAAGAGAGACTTCCGCGCAGGGCCGGCCCCGACGTAGTGGTGATATGGGCCGTCGCAGTGGCGATCGTGAGCGTTACGACGCAGATCCCCAAGTTCTCAGCGATGATTTCTCTGCTCTTGAGTTGAGGGATGGCGAAGGTAAGCATCGATCTTAAGTCTAGTATCATTGGGGTTTGCTAACTTGTGCACAGCTCCCCCAGCTCGCCCCCCTCGTCCGGGCCAATCCAGCCTTAAACCCTCCGTATCTCCTTCGCCAGACAGGCGCAAGGTGTCTTTCCAGGATGGACCACCCACCGAGATTGACAACAATTACGATGCGTCCACGCCATCCAAGCGTCTCAGCTCAACAGGCAGCAAGGCGAGCAAATGGCAACCATTGTCCACCGTCGAGCCTTCACCCGTCGCGGAGAACGACCCATTCAGCCTCGGCGACAGCGATGATGAGAAGGAAACCAAGGAAACTAAGACCAAGGAGCAAGCCACTGGCTCGGAAGGCGAACAGGTCAAGCACGCTCCTATCGAGTTAGTGTCCGACGAAGTGGGTTCCTCCAAGGACCAGGAGACCAAGGGCGCGACCAAGCCCGACGAGTCAAAATAATTGCGAATGATTGGAATTTGAATATCCCCGCTGCCATCTGCGCGAATCACCTCTTGCCTTTGCTCCCTCCCATCCCGTGATCATACTCCCCTATTGTTCTACTCTGCCAACTCACCTTGTTATACGCTACCCACCCCAAGTTTACGATACCTAGTAGAGGTAGCCCAAGACGTTTTCCCAAGCCTTCGGATGTCTCCATAAACCCAAACCAAATTGAACCTGTATTTGTACCGGAAACAAGCAAAAAAAAAAAAGGGTATATCTCCGACCGGCCCGTATAGTAACAAATACACGGCCTCAACGCCAAAACCAGAACAAACCAACAGACCTCGTTCAATGCAACAATAGAAACAAATAGAAAACAGGTAACTTAAGAGTTTCTTCAAACCCAAGCCGACTCCCTAACACGATTACTCCACGGCGGGGGCATTCCCCACGCGCTTTGAAGAACCAGTCTCCTTGCGCAGATCCTTGATGACAGTCTGTAAAGCAGAAATCAAATCAGCTACTTAGTCACTTTAACACCGAATGACGCGTGCAGAACGCTATAATTTCATGGGGGAAACGCGTACCGCCAAAGCATCGGGGTTGACCCCGTTTTCAATGAGAGACACACAAAGTGACAGCTCTGTCCGGTCCAGGTTGGTATTCTATTTGACATGTCAGTTTTTGGGATTATGCTGTATAGTTTGATTTTCTTGTCTTGTAAAGAAGGAATGATATGGAATAGGAGTCCTAAATGAATCCAGAATCCTGTCTACAATAGTTCTGGGGGTGAGCACGCACCAGCAGGTCGGAGATCTCCTGAAGGATATCGATGACTTCTCTGGCAGCTTGGCGTTTGTCATCAGCCTGGTCTTGGGACTTTGGGGGCATTGTTGATTTTGATATTGAGAATGGGTGGGCTGTTGGAATGTACGTTGTAAGGTGGTTGAATGTGTGTGGGTTGAAGTTGGGTTGATTTGCTGTGGGGGAACTTTTCTGCGGTAACCATCTATATGTTGTATAAACGGTGCATGTTGTATATTGTACGAAGTACTCCATCCATCAGCGTGATATTTCAATATTTTAATGGGGTTTAGGGACATTTTCTCTATTGGCGTTAGTTTACTGAGGAATTTGCTACTTCAATTGGTCTTATTACTGGTGGGTATTCTTAGATACACTGCTTTATCTTCTATGAAATATTCCGAGATGTAATATAGTTACTAAATAATTATACTAGAAAACATTCATAAAGTACTTAAGTGAGCCATTTGTGACAATGCAATACATAACCATGTTCATGTTAAAGAAATTCATATGTTGTAGTTAGGGCATGCAGCCTATATATGTATAATGTATAAGTATATAGTTCACATATTCGTACATTCGCATGTTTTGACTTCTTCTTCCTCTATTACTCCTGAGCTATATTATATAATAAGTATGTTTAATAATTTCTAAAATCCAAGTAATGATCATGCACTGATATATGGCGTTACATTAAATGGTTCATATAGTACAAATTGCATAAACTACTATGTTATACCTTGTTGATCCTCACGAAATTGCAACACAATTTGCAGCCTCTCAATCCTCAGAATGAGTGCATAGTCCATGACATGGGAGAAATTGACACATAAAAGAGAATCTTTACTAGTAATCTTCGAGGATTCTCCCATGGCGGATATTTCCATTTCGCCCCTAACCCTAATCAACAACCATCTCCACCCATGCAGAAAGATCCTATCCAATTAGAGAACGTGGGACTAAAGAATTAGTTAGTGACTTGAGTACAAGATATTCACACCTAACTATCCCTTTTAGGATGCTGCCCTGATACTCTCGTGTAATCTCATCCAGTTTGCTAGATCAAAATGAACAAGATGGACCAATGCTCGCCTGCAAGAATTTTGCCTGCTAGTCTTCAGAGATATTCACTTTGATTCTGCTCAATGCTTATAGAATACCTCCTGTACTGTCATTTTCCTATACCACAGGGTGCTGGCACAACTAGGAAACCGCAAATATGGACATCGCAGATATGAACATGACATCTATTTTTGGACCCCCCCGGCGGGCATGGATCTCGCAGAAAGCAGAACTTTTGAAGATACTGCTGTTGTCATGACTATATGTGTACTTGCAGTATACACTATTATCTTCCGGTTTGTCGTGAGAGCATATATCCAGGGAGCGAGGCTAGAAGCCGATGACTAGTTGAGTGGGGCATCTGGCATTCCATTAATCGCATTGCTTACAGCGCCTATTCTTAGTACGTTTAAATCCCATTGTGACTATATGGAAAACATGACATTAACAGATATATCCCTGAATCAGGCGGTGCCTACGGTTTCGGTTTGCAGGTCTGATGGATAACAGTGGAGAATATGACCACAATGAAAAAGGCACATACAAAAACATTATATACTTCCGAGTCAAATCTAACTGAATAGTATAGATTCTCTTTGTAATCTAGACCACCCTTCTCACCTCCTATGGCTGGTGTATAGGAAGCATGATTGCAGCCCTATGAGATTGTGAGCCAATCTCATATTTCTGGAGGGAAATCATTGATCCTACATCTAGCTCAAACAGATATAACTTCTATTATTACTACGTTGGAAATGCAGCTTCTAACGTCGTGACAGATGTTCTTATTCTGCTTGTCTCGGTGCATGCTGTTTGGAACCTTCAGATGCAGACAACACAAAATATTGGCGTGTGCGGTGTGTTTCTTCTATGTGGATTGTATGCTTCCCAAATAAAGCCCCTCCATAATACCAATGCCAAGGCTGTTTCAGTGTCTGTCGCAAGTGGTATTCGCATCCACTACATTACCTACCCCCACAAAAACATCGATATCATATAGGCCCTAGGCGATGTCGCCATGTGGTCAACCATTGAGCCGTGCATCAGGGTCCTCTGCGCCTGTCTCCCTGTCTTACAGCCAATTGTCCGCTCACTGGTTAAAAAATATCGGAACGTCTCGAATGCCCAGACTGCCAGTGTTATACAGAGAGAGCAGCAAATATGACATTGAATCTAGAACGAGCCATACACCCTTCGGCCGTTCAAAAGAAGACCTGGGTCCACTTTGGTCAGGACTCGGGTGGAGATAGAAACAGGGGAGCAGAATCTTGATCCTATGGCTATTCGTGTTAAACAGGTTGTACACTGGATTATTGATTAGACTGATCTAGTTAATCTTAGAGCCGTTGATTACTTTCTTTGTTTGTCGGCGCTTTGTAGAAGCTAATGAATAGATGAATAGACTAGGCCTCCCCAACATGGAACAAAAAAGAAAATGGAAATATGAAGCGCGAGGCGAACGGCGATTCAACCTGAAAAAGACCTAGGCCAACACGCGTTCGTCCAGACCGGAGCAAAACAAAAAGCACACCGGACCGTAAACTTCATTCTTCAACCTTTCTTGCATTTCCTGAGAGCATAATTATTTACAGCCAGAAATGGCGAGACACGAAAGCCAGACGACCACCCATATACCACCGGAAGAGCCGCAAGAGCCGCAGGAGGTGAAAGGACCATCAGCCTGGCAACAATTCCGAGATGGACCTTGTCTCTTCGTTGCCCGCAAGATGTCGGCCTGGCGACCAATCAACCCCAGTGAACTGCCTGAAGATTCAGTCACTGTAGTTTGCATCTCAAACACGTACAACCAGCGACCACAGATACCGCCAGGTGATATCCTAATCCACGCCGGCGACATGGTGGGAGGTGGATCATCACTCGCCAACTTCCAAGCCTCACTAGACTGGCTCAAGGCACAACCTCACCACATTAAGATTGTGGTGGCGGGCAGACGCGACAAGTATCTCAGCAAAACGAAGAAGGGAGGTCCTCACTGGAGAAATGGACTTCGCCGGAAGGCCGACTGGGGCGACATCATCTATCTGGAGCACGAGAAAGCCGTGGTAGCTGCCGAGAACGGACGCCTGCTCCGCGTCTTCGGAAGTCCATACTCACCGACGAGCATTCATTGGACGGCCTTCGAGTACCCTCGCGATCAAAATGTTTGGAAAAAGATTCCAAAAAATCTCGACATGCTCATCACTCACACACCGCCACTCACACATCTTGACTCTCTCGAGGGCTGCTGGCATTTGCTGCATAAGTTGTGGAAGAGTCCTCCTCGACTGCACGTTTTCGGGTCCGTTCTTGAGCACCATGGAACTAAACTATTGTGCTATGATGATCTTCAGAACGCCATGGAGCAGATTGAGGTTGCGGGTGGAGGTTTCGTCAATCTTCTCAAGGTCGTCAAAGCGTTCGTGAAGTCCTGGTTCCGCCCCGATAGGAAAGCCAAGACCGAGCTCGTCAATGCATGCATTGCTGGGGGAGAGCCGGATTCGCACCGGGAACCGATCACAGTTGTCATTTGATTTGAACAGGGGAGGAGCTATTTATGTGCCCAGGTGCTATGCGCAGATGGGATAGGACTCGGCATGATTCAACACGAAGATTCAACACGATTCGACATGATTCAAAATCCAACATGATTCAACAGGATTCAACATCAGTGGACATGTGATTTAATAATTAATAATAATTAATGAAATATCTGCTTCTAATTGAATGTGCATTGAGGCGTAGATGAAATTGAGACATTGCGAACTGGAGTTTATAGATGAAGGCGACTCTCATTGGTTGAAACTCACCGGTGGGGACCATAACACTTTTCGTCGCATTCAAGCACCAACCTCGGAACTTCGTACTTTTACACGGCATAAATTGACACAGTTGCAGTGTCAAATAACTGGACCAGGCGTGTGTTAAAGCTAGTTAGTCGTGATCTGGAATGGCGCCTCAGTGCGAAATGGGAGTGGGAGGAGTGGGAGGAATGGGAGGAATGCCCGGCCTCACCATCTCGGACATTCATTCCTTGAAGAGGAACGAGGCACTAGAGATTCTTGCCCAGATTTCGCGCGCCGAGAAAAAAACCTTCCCCACCAATGAGGCATTCCCGTTCGGCGAAGACCTGTGGAGAAAAAAGCCCAACACGCGAGTTCTGTACGCGATTCGAGCCAAGGGATCACAATCTGATCTGATTGCCTATGCGGTCTATGTCCGACAGAAGGGCGTTGCACTTTTGCACAAAATCTGTGTGACTGAGCCTAACCGCCGTCAAGGTGTCGGACAGGAGGTGCTGACCTACATTCAGCAGCGCCTACGAAAGGAGGGCTGCCAGTATATCCAGCTCTGGGTGGACCAGGCCAGGGAGCCCGCACGCGCCTTGTATCTCCGTATTGGATTTGAGGAGCGTGAAGTCATCCCTGATTACTATGCCCCTGGACGAACTGGCATCAAAATGGTCCTGGATTTAGAAGCGTGATGGTTGAGCCACTGCCGTCAATGGCACCCTTCGGACCTTTTTTCCCCTCCCACTAAAAATGTTCCTTGCCTTACCGGTCCCTTTCAAATAGGTCCGAGGGGCAATAAGTTATGGTATTGGGGCGCGTCTATGCTCCTTGGCTGCCGCAGGAGCCATCTATGGCGACCCCTTGCATGGACACGGACATCTTCGAAACGTGAGATTATACCGATCGGGCCTGCGTCCATTCTCCGCTGTCATTCTGCTACATACCTCCGTGATATCTAACATATCCAGGTATGGCTTTTTTGAAAGGGCACGCCTTGAATGTCTCCCTGGTCCCTTTAGTGCGAGAGGGACCACGGTCCTTTTCTGGAAGATCATGCGTGATACTCTTTCATCTTCGTACTGAATCTCTCTCTTTTCATCTTGACTACTTTCACTATCTTTCGCCGTGAGATTGGAAGCATTGTTGGTGATCGGTGAGCTAGCTGTGTCATTTCCAGCTATATACAGTTCCAGTGTGCTCGCATTTGCCCAATCGACCATGGCGTTCTTTCTCACCATCGTGCTGGCTTTCCTGTCAGTCGTAAATGCAGGATCCTTGGCTGCCAATTATCCTATCAACTCGCAATTGCCACCTGTTGCCCGAGTTTCACAGCCTTTCCAATTTGCATTCGCCCAAAGTACTTTCTCTAACAGTGACGCGAACACCAAATACTCGCTATTGGATGCACCATCATGGCTCGAAGTGGACAGCAGCAGTCTCACCCTGTCAGGAACGCCTCATTCAGACGACAGTGGCGTCGTCAAGTTCCAACTTGTGGCATCGGGTGGATCGGGAAAAGACAGCATGGACGTTACTTTAATCGTGACAGCAGACCAGGGACCGACGGTGAACAAACCGCTTGTACCTCAGCTACAGAAGTTAGGACCAGTCTCATACCCTGCCACGCTGTTCATCCATCCAGGTCGTCCATTCTCAATTGAGTTCGATCAGGATACCTTCGACAACACGCATCCTGCTACGATCTACTACGGAACCTCGCCGAACAACGCCCCGCTACCTTCTTGGATTAACTTCGACCCGACAGCCCTGAAGTTTGCTGGAAATAGCCCTGCTTTTCCGGGCGCGGGGCCTCAGATATTCACTTTCCAGATGATCGCATCGGATGTAGCTGGGTACAGTGCGGCCAACGTGACCTTTGAACTCTCGATCGGTCCCCATATTCTGACATTCAACGAGACTGTCCAAAGCTTCAACCTCACGAGAGGAGAAGAGTTCAACAGTCCCAAATTCACTAGCCTTCTGTCTTTGGATGGTTCACCAACTTCTGTCAAAGAGTTGGCAAAAGTCGACGCCAAATTGCCGGATTGGTTGAAGCTGGATAAGGACAATATATCGCTGAGCGGGACGCCACCCAAGAATGCCGTTAATCAGAACATCACTATCGCTGTTACAGACGCTTATCAGGATCAAGCGCACATGATGGTTCGCCTAGAATTCTTGAAGCTGTTCCTCGACACCATCGATGGGTGTGAGGCAGCCATTGGGCAAGACTTCAAATTCGTGTTCAACCAGTCTATCGTCACCGATGACTCTGTACAATTGGAGGTTGATTTGGACGACGAGCTCACATGGCTTACCTACTTCTCGGACAACAAGACTATTTACGGACACGTTCCGGATGATATGGATCCAAAGAAGTTCACCATCCCTCTTACTGCGTATCAGGGATCGACAGAAGACACGATGGACTTCGTTCTCGATGTCCTCAAAGCCTCGGACACACATTCGAACCCCACAGATCCGTTTACCGCCTCATCTGACACTCCCAGCCACAAGAAGGCTGGAATCATCGCCATCTCAGTCGTTGTCCCATTTGTGGTAATTCTGAGTCTGCTGATTCTGTTCTGCTGCTGGCGTAGCCGCAAGAACTCACCAACGGTCGAAGAGGGTTCATCTGACAGCAAAATTGCTCCGCCACGACCTGTTAGGCCTGATATTCCTAATTGTCAGCCATCCATGACGAAAAGACCTTCCCGCGATGACAATTCCGAAGATTGGATGAGTCCTATGTCACCGGCGTCGATTCCCAAGCTCGAACTTGGGCCCGCGTGGAACGTGTCGCCATTTGATAAACAGGAGCATCCAGTTAACTTTGCTATTCCTTCTCCCGCTGTTCCCCCTCGCTCTCCTGCTCGCGATTCTCCCACTCGCGGTGGCTTCGTCCCACTGCGAGACCCGGTTATTCAAGAGGAGAACCCCGCTCAAACCGGTTCACCTTCCAAGAAGCAAAACAATCGCCTCTCATACACGAACACGATCAGCCCGATGCGCCGTAGGACCACCAACCGTTCCCGGCGAGAGCCATTGAAGACGATCCAGCCGCGAACCATGAAACGAGAATCCATACAATCATCCAAGTCAAGGAGATACTCAAAGCGCTCGAGCGGTATCTCCTCTATTGCCTCTGGATTACCTGTACGACTCAGCGGAGCCGGCCATGGCGCCGGCGGCTTCGGACCTCCCGGCCACGGGGTGGTGCACACATCATGGCAAAACGCGCGAGCCTCAATGTTGAGCGATGAGACCAGCCTAACCCAGATGGCTCCATTGTTCTCGCGCCCGCCAGGAGCCGGACGCATGCGTCACAGCATGGCATCCAGCATCCCCGAAAACTACAAGCGCATGACCCTACGCACTGTCGAACCCGACGACTCCATCGTCTCCGAAGCCGACTCCCTGGAAGCCTTTGTGCATAGCCGAGCCAAGCACCGCAACTCCTCCAACCCTCTCTTCTCCGCGCAAATCAGCCGACGCACTTCCTCGGGAATGCGCGCACTTGACCGAAACCGCAGCATGCGCAGCCGCGCCGATACCGTCTCCGTGTCAACCTTCAGCGATGAATTCCGCCAATCCATCCAAGAGCGGCCCCCGTCGACTGCGATATCGGCCTCGGAATACGGTGACGACAATAACGTGAACCGCTTCTCTCAATATCAGAACCAAGCCGGTCTATTTCCCCTTGCTGAGGGTAGCACATATGACCAGAGCCAGCTGAGTCTTGCACAAGACTACCGCGGTGCTATCTCCCCGCTACCGCGGTTCTGGAGCGACAATAGTATGGGCAGTGCTCGGCAGTTGGAGGGTCAGGGCAACCATAACCCTCAGGCTCAGAAAGTGAATGATGAAAACGCTATGCCGCATAGCTCGTCTATGGTCTCAGACCTGGAAGAGCATCTGTCGCGCAAGGTCAGCCCTAGTAAGAGCGCCAATCATCAGTGGTGGTTGTCTTCACCACTCGAGTCCCCGCGGCCGTTGAAGAATGCCGATAATCGGGGTCTTCCTATAGCCAGTAGTGGAGAGCTGGCATTTGTTTGATTATTTTTTTTTGGCTGTTTCCCCTGCCTTATACCTAGGTCTATAGGTTTCTCTTTTTTTTTTTTTTTTTTGTCTCTCTTTCTATTGTGTTTTTGGCGTTCTCAGGCATTGCGAGTATGATATCCATTGGCTTTTCTATGGTTGACTGGTTGGTATTGAAGTGTTTTATACTAGTTGATCTAGTTTGGAGCGAATAATACTATAATATCTCTCCATCTGGATTGTTTAGGTGCATTGCATAGTAGTGGCATTCACGGCTTGCATTCTCCGCCTTCACAGTAACTATAATATTTATAATATTATACACAAGTAGAGTCCATGAATGAGGTCAAAGACAAAGGAAAGTTATTCTTCTACAAATGAAATAGAATAGAGTAGATTTCCCAAGTTTGAAAATCAGACATCCTCACCTATGGCGTGACTGTACAGTGACTACTGTGTCCATAGCCCCTATTTACTTTCCCCTCAGCCTCAATAAGGAGATACAATGAACTAAATACTATACAGATTCTATGAGCTATATACACTAAATACTTTCTTATAAAAAATAATCTCTCAAATCCCCAACTCCTTTCAAAACTCCCTATACACCAATCTGATGCCCCTCACGTGACTCTATAGAGTACGGCGTAACAAAAGCGGTAAACACAATACCAGGAAATCTCTGCGAGGTCTTCCAAGGACTCGGACTTTCTCTCATAAGCTTCCTTGAAATTGTCTTTCCAATCTTCATCTCTTTACAGAATTCAGATCCTATTTTAAAAATAAAAAGTACAAGGCAAGAAATCCATCATCCGTCCATTCCCCACTTATCGCGGGACCCAGAACGCGCTGAAAGCCCTGCGCCCTCATCTGACCCTTTCCCTACAGCACCTCCAGCACCTCCAGCATTTTCCACACTTCGATCCGGAAACCTCGTTCCCACCACCTCCACCCCCGAATTATTCAATCTTTGCCAATATGGGTCAAACCCTATCGGAGCCGGTGGTCGAAAAGGTGAGATATTTCGCTTTTTTGATTCACACCCCACACTGGCCCATTGTGACCCTCCAATGTCTCTTCTATGGCCTCCAAATACACATCCCCCCTTTTCTTGGCTTTTGTCATACCCCCAGGACCAGGGAGTTATAGACCGAGTCTCTCTCAGGTCCTCCAGTTGAACAGATAGTCCATGCTGTCGCCCGAGGGGTCTTTCTCGGGTTGCCATGCGGGGTCTTGGTAGTCCAGCTGGGTAGTGGGGGGTGGTTCAACCAGAACGAACTGGAATCGCAATCCTACCAGACAGCCTTGCATATGTTGTGAAAAAGCGTCGAGTGTAACTAACGTGTTCTTTTTTCACTTATAGACATCGTCCGAGGGCGGGGATGATTGCTGTGTGTATGGTGTGTCGGCCATGCAGGGCTGGCGAATCAGCATGGAGGACGCCCACGCTACAATCCTTGACCTCCAGGCAAAGTATACCGGCATCACCGACAAACCGACGGGTCCGGAAGACCGCCTCGCCTTCTTTGGTGTGTACGATGGCCACGGTGGAGACAAGGTGGCATTGTTCACCGGCGAGAACCTGCACAAGGTCGTCTCCCGACAGGAAGCTTTCGCCAAGGGCGATATTGAACAGGCCCTGAAGGATGGTTTCCTCGCGACCGATCGGGCTATTTTGGAAGGTTTGTGTTGTATTGTTGTAACCGAGGTACCTGATGGATCGCTAACTTGGATCCAGACCCCCGTTATGAGGAGGAGGTGTCCGGCTGTACTGCTTCCACGGCCATTATCTCACAGAAGAAGATCTGGGTGGTATGTTATGACCTTGAAGGGAAAAAACAAAAAAAAACAAAAAACAAAACAATTTTGCATTGAGGAATTTCAAACTGACTGGTCATAGGCCAACGCTGGTGATTCGCGATCCGTCTTGGGCGTCAAGGGACGTGCCAAGCCCCTTTCATTCGACCACAAGCCCCAAAACGAGGGTAAGTGCATGGAATCATACAGTCCGCTATATAAAACGAGGTCGGATCTGACAGATAATTACAATAGGCGAGAAGGCTCGTATCACCGCTGCCGGCGGCTTCGTCGACTTCGGTCGTGTCAATGGCAACCTTGCCCTGTCCCGTGCTATCGGTGACTTTGAATTCAAGAAGAGCCCGGAGCTCTCTCCTGAACAGCAGATCGTCACCGCATACCCCGATGTGACCGTTCATGAGCTGACGGATGACGATGAGTTCCTGGTGATTGCCTGTGATGGTATGTCTTCTGCTATTGCGCCCCCTCGCTAGTCTAGGTGTTAACCTATATACAGGTATCTGGGATTGCCAGTCTTCTCAAGCTGTGGTTGAGTTTGTCCGCAGAGGCATTGCTGCCAAGCAACCCCTCGCCCAGATTTCCGAGAACATGATGGACAACTGCCTTGCTTCCAACAGTGAAACCGGCGGTGTTGGATGTGACAACATGACCATGACCGTCATCGGACTCCTACAAGGCAAGACCAAGGAGGAGTGGTATAACCAGATTGCAGAGCGGGTTGCGAACGGGGATGGACCTTGTGCTCCGCCCGAGTACGGCAAGTCTCCCGAGGAACCCGAAAGCATCCCCACTTCTTCGTGCTGACGGCCAGTTCGTGCAGCCGAGTTCCGCGGCCCCGGGATCCGGAACCAGTTCGAGGATACCCCTGATGAATATGACCTGGAGATGGAGCGTTCCCGTGGTTTCAGTGTCCGTTCGGGCCGCATCATCCTCCTGGGTGATGGCACTGAGGTCATCACGGGTCAGAACGACGAGGAGCTTTTTGACCAGACGGAGGAGGACGAGGACCTTACCAACCAGGTGCAGCACGAATCGGGCACCCGGAATGACCGCCAGGCCACCCCAGGTCCTCAGGGGAAACAGGAGAATGGCAGCGGTTCTGCTCAAATATCCGAATCCCCGGCCTCCACTGACGCCGAGAAAGAGAAGTCCGCATCGTAGACTATAAACTTATGAACAAGTCTCTCGATTGGTCCTCCCTGTTTTGGTTTCACTCTGGTTTTGTTTTCCTTACCCACTGCCAACGACCCTTTTCCCTTGATTCCACGATCTATGCCCTGTTTTTTCCCCCTCCCCTTTTCTTTGTTTTGCGATTAGTTATCGTTGGGCTCTGGTCCCGAGCCTGTTTACACCTTTTTTTTTAAACACCTTCGACTTGAAATGGATATTTGTCAAAGACGGGACCTGCGGCAAAGAGACTCAAGACGGAATTGAATGCGATGAAGACAAGAGCTTTGAATTTCCATGGAGGGTCGATGTTGAAAGAGAGCCCTTCGCCGGGAGCCAAATGGGCCGGCCTTATGAACACGTTTCTTACTTTATGCCATCACCACAACGAGATACCGCAGAAAATGCCCGCTATTGACGAGCCCATTTACCTACACTTCTCTATCCGCTTTTCATTTCGGGGTTTCTCTTCTTTCTCTTAATCCCCGGTCTATTCCCTACCTACGGTCATTGATCTGTGTGGTATGGTCTATATGAGAATGAGTACTTGCTAGGGGCGCAAGCTGGTAGAGTTGGGTATTGATTGAGATTTCGTCAGGGTGAGCAATGGGCAATGACAATGGTCATTTACATACCCTTTGGCGTATATCGGATGCATTCAGCGTTTTTCTTTGTACCTTGGTTGATGTTGTTTTCTCCATTCTATTCTAAGCAACGGAGTTCTGAGAGAGAAAGAAGTCATATTTGCTGACGTAGGTAAATTCAGGGGGTAGAGTGTGGGAAGAGTGCAATTCCAATGCCATTTCCTTATTTCTTTCTTTTAGTCTGATAGTGATGTAGTAATGTAAAGGAGTACAATGGGAGTGTGATGATATACTCCAGTTAATCTACTTGGAGAGTACGGAGTACGGAGTACGTACCCCCTGTATCACCTAATCCACACGTGGTCAGTGTAACTATACATAATGCCAAGACTTAATTTGCAACGTTGAGCCCCTATTTGCAATTCCTCGTATTGTAAGATTCAACCCCCGTACACTCTAGACTCATGGAACTGTGGCTTAAAACAGCGGAGTTGCGCCCCCACTCTTTCCCCAAACAGAAAATTACCAGTTTCCCCTAAAACCGGGTTGCCGTCATTCAGGGTTCAGCAATTAATTCTCTCCCTGATTCTCTCTCCCAACCTTTTCATTCATTTCCCTAGGAAGAACTTCCCTCATTTATTCTCCAGGGCCAAAAATACAATGTCGCCATCTACTTCCCCCGCCGGCAAGCGCAAGCGCAGCGCCTCCCACCTTCCCGCGCCCGTCCCCAAGAACGTCACAGCCGACCTCCAGCCATCTTCACGCGACGCGTCCGGCGAAGAAGGCGGCGACGACTCAACAGAGCCCAATGCCACCTCCCACAGCACTAATGGTACCCGTCATCCTTCTAAGCGGGCCCGCAAGGCTGCCGCGGCCGATGCCGCAAGCCACATCGAGGTGAACGGGGTCAACAAAGAAGACCCCGGCGAGCCATCTGAGACAACTGTCACCAGCAGCGATATTGAGGGTGGCGTTCGGTCGCGCCCCGGTTTACATATCGATTTGCCCGAGGCCGAAGACGATGAGCCTGTTACAGAGGAGCAGATGGCTCCCCCGGTCTTTGGGCGCTTACAGGACCCCGTCGGTTACCGCACTAATCCTCCTCCAACGGGCCGCTCAGTACGTGTGTATGCGGACGGTGTATTTGATTTATTCCACCTTGGGTAGGTGATCACACGAGCAGACCAAGTTTTAATTTCGGCCCCCAATTTTATTCTGGTTTCAGGCTTGCTCAATTGGGTAATGGTGGCTGACTATCACTTTCTAGCCATATGAGGCAGCTCGAGCAGGCGAAGAAGGCCTTCCCCGATACTTATTTGATTGTCGGTGTTACTGGCGACGAGGAGACACACCTGCGCAAGGGTCTGACGGTGCTCAGCGGCGCCGAGCGCGCGGAGACTCTCCGTCACTGCAAGTGGGTTGACGAGGTCATCCCCTGCTGCCCGTGGATTGTGACGCCTGAATTCCTGTCTGAGCACGAGATCGACTACGTTGCTCACGACGATCTGCCCTACGAGGCCGCCGAGGGTGATGACATCTACGGTTCTATCAAGGAGCAGGGCAAGTTCCTGGTGACGCAGCGCACAGAGGGTGTCAGTACCACTGGTATCATCACACGGTATGTTTCACTTCCCACATTGAATCCAACGGACCAGAGCAAAAAGACCGGAGCTAATTCTATCTATATGTAGGGTTGTCCGCGACTACGACCAATACATCTCCCGTCAATTCAAGCGTGGCGCCTCCCGCCAAGAACTAAACGTATCCTGGCTGAAAAAGAACGAGCTCGAGATCAAGCGTCATGTCGTCGAGCTGCGTAACAACATCCGCAACAACTGGACCATGACCGGCCAAGAGCTCGGCCGTGAATTGCGCCAGATCTGGCAGAACAGCCGCCCTAACAGCCCCGCGCCCAGCGCCCGTAACAGCATGGACTGGGGCATGCGTGGACCCCTCACCAGCCCCACTGGTGGCAGCAAGTCACACCTGTCGCGTGTGGGTGCGGAGCCCAACCGCGCAGATAGCCCCATGGGCTCGCGTCGCAATGAGGATTTCGCTACTGGTTACAGTCTCGGATTGATCGGAGGTGTGCGTGCTTGGGTAAGTCACATCCCCCAATCGCTGGATATGCAGCGCGGCTTTATTTCGTGTACGTCGTACTAATGCGCTTCATACAGATGGCCCGCAGTCGCCAATCTCTCCAGGAACCCCCCAGCGGCATGCACAGTCCTACTGATGAAGAACTCGAGTCGGAGCACAACAACGGCTACGAGGAGGAGGAGCGTGGCCGTGCTGGTCACGTCTCTGCGAAGTAGATGGGCTTGGTTTATTGCCTTTGAACCCATATTGTCTCGACCAAGCTACAACTTGAGTGGTAGATAGGCCTACCATTCTTCTTGTAGCTGCAATTTTTCCCCTTTCCTCAATACACCTTCCCCCTATTCCTTTGCATATGTATCCATCTTTTCATTTTGCATTCGGTTCGTGTCTTATACTTTTACAAATTGTGCCGTAACTGGCGGTTTTTCCTATGTCAGGCGCTTGGGGTCTTTTTTTTTTTTTTTTTCTTTTTCTTTGCTCTCTTCTGTGAATGGGCTGTATGCTGGACTTGACTGGTTCGGCTTTGATACAGGCTTTTTTTTCCTTTTTCCTTTTGATATTCTTTTTTCGTTCTGATTTTCGCTTTGGTTGTGTTTCGGCGGTTTCAACGCTCCTCCTTCCCCTTAATACTTCTCCAATGAACTTGTTTCCTGTTTGATGTCTTTGTATGTGGTCTTGGTGATTGGTGTTAGTTGATCTAACCCATTTCATCTAATCATGATCATGGTCATGGTCTTTGTTCTTGGTCTATTCTCTTTATTCTCCAAGGCTATTCCTTGTTCCCCTGTTTGTTTTTGTTCATAAAAACTGCAATTGATCCAATTGATGACAGCTGATTTTACCACCTCGACCTTGGTCGTGTCCGGATATGGACTGCACATAGATTGAGATAGCTTTTGATGTTTTGTATTCCAATTGCGTGGTCAATTGGAACATTAGTTGATTTGATAGACCATGTGCTGTGTAATATGTCCTGTACGACGATATAGTATCGTCTCTCCTGAGACACTGCCACTTACTCTAGATCTTGGATATATTCAACACTCTTAATAGTTAATGTCAATAACAATGATTGTTCAACTCACTTTTGACTTTAGAAATCCGGATAGTTCACTAAAATATCTTCCTGACTATATACATAAACGACATTTCATTGCCTTACTTCTCAGGCCTTCTTCCAACCCAGTGCATATAAAGAAAGCCAACCCCCTTCTCATGGATCTCCACCTACCATCCCCTTCTCACCATCTACCCTTTACAGCATACACACCTTCTTGAAGCGTTATATCTCCAAGCAGATCACATCTCCCAGATCTCAACCTGCAGATTGATAGAAGCTGTCTTTCTTTGCCTCTGCACAAGATTCGCGGAAACACAAGCTATTCCTGATTCGAACTTCCCTAAGGAGCTGCACTCATGATCTCTCCGCATCACTCTGGGGAACTTGCAGGAAAGCCACGAGCTATTTCTGATTCGGACTTCCCTAAAGAGATGCAGCCATACTCTCTCCGCCATCACTCTGGGGAACCTGCAGGGTCAACGTTTCCACTCATGGGCGAAACCCCAGTCCCTTCAGCATACGCCCGCTTAGCAATGCCGCTGAATATGATCCGTCCGCTCGCATCAGTTTTCACTCCAATGGCCGCTCATAGTATCATTTCAAGAATGTGCCATACTGCACAAATCTCATGTGAAAAGAGTCAAGGGATTCCTATCTATGAACCTCGTTACGACCTGCGTTGACAACCTCCATATACTCAAGCAACCTGATGTTCTCAGTCCCCAGATCAGTCAGAATCCCGGGAATCAGCTGCTGGCCAATCAAAACCTACTATGACCTTGAACAAAATGAAGACCAGGTTCTTTGAATTTACCACGGGTAAATCCTATTCTGCATCAACACACATGGTGTATGACCTGTCTGCGCGTATCTGCACGCGAGTGTGGACCGACGCCGACTCGGTCTCGCTCCAGACTTTCGTCGTCCGGACTCCGGTGTTGTGCCGACATATACGATGGCAAAAACTGCCAACATTGCAATAAACTCCACAAGCCCTGTGGGACTGTCCCTTGATCTGAACGAAGGGAGTCAGGACTGCGGCTTTCGTTAAATAAGAGTCATGAGAAGAGGGTGAAATCCTAAATTGGCTCAAAGAGCAGAAAGGGAGGTAACGGGGAAGGGGAAGGAGGAGTGTTGCAGAATCATTTCCATATTGTTCCTCCCCCTCCTGCTGCATGTTTCTAATTGGCAAATTCATGGGCTAGAGCTTAGTTTCTTCAATTATCCTATCAGTCTCCATTCACTGTGCACACCTACCTCTGTAGGCTTCTTTGACACTGATATAGCGTCAGTTTATCTCACACTTCATGGGAAAAGTTACTGTACAAAGATTATTCTACGAATCAAGGGCACACCACCATCGCTATTTCCCACAGACTCAATGCCCTGCGGAAAGACTTGAGACCGGGGTTGAACACTACAGTGTGGATGGCAGACGGGAGGCTCGAGGAGCTATATAGATTTAGTGATAGGATTCTGGATCCTGATGTCGGTGGTAGTCACTCGGATTAGAGACATTTTGGGCTTATGTCTTTGAATTACGAATAGAGACTCTCTCTATTAATTAACCGTCTTGACGATGAGCCGAGGCACTACTTTTCCCCAAGGTCTTTTGGTATAGTTATATAGTTATATAGTTATATAATAAACAATAAGGGTATCGAAATAAGAAACAAAAAACATCAATCCGCAGTAATGGCCAATCTAATTCCCCTCCTCTCCCTCTCCTCCAAATCCATCCCCTTCACCATTCCAATCCCACATTCCCTCGGTCCACACAATATCCCCCTCAACTCCTCCCTCAAAAGCCCAACATCTCTCACCAACTCCCCCTCAACAACCCCCTTAGCAAGCAAATCACACCTAGCCGTAACCGCCAAATCAAACCCCTCCAACCCCCTAACCGCAAGAATCGGCCTCACCCACGCTTCCTCAATACCAAACGGAATCCTCTGTCCCGAAACAACAGCCTCACCCGTATTCCCAAGCACACTGGTAAACCTCCCAAGATCCAAACTCAACCCTAACACACGTAATCCCCGCAAGGAAGCAACAACCTCCCAAAAGCGAAGCCACAAGACATCACTATGGGTATGCGCATAGATGGAACCGCTATGATCGAGCCCAGCCATAGGCACCCAGATAGGCATCCATTGAACGGTCAATCTAGAAAGGGCATTCCGTGCAGCGGGCGACAACGACGCCGCGAAAGCGATGAAAGTGTATAGATCATCGACGTCGAAATGCGAGGATTTGTACAGGATTGTCTCTGCTTCGAAATAGATTGCGCGGCAGACGCGGAGGAGGGACGTGTTGCTGTTACTTAGGGTTGATGGGAGATGGGAGTGCGTGTGTGGGTAGAGGAGTCTGTCGCTGTGGCCTGGGACTCGGCCGTCGTAGATGCGCCAGCGGGCTGGGGTTGTGGGGCAGCAGTGGCGGTTTTGGGTTAAGGAGGGGTTTGGGTGGTTTGGGTGGTTTGGGTCAATTGGGTGGATTGGGGGGTGTTGGATGGGCTGGGGTTGGACAGCGGACATGGCGGATTTTGCCTTTTAGTTGGACTAAATGGATGGTTTGGGGGGTTGGGTGTTTGGAGTTGGGGAGTTGGTGAGGACGTAGGACCAGATTATTTGGCGGAGTTCTGGGGGAGACGGAGGAGGGGGATTGTTGAGATTGGAATTGGAATTGGGATTGGGACTGGGATTGGGATTGACTTGACGGATTCAAGTTCCAGTTTATAGGTGGGTGGAGGGGATTCTCTGGAGAGCAGATTGCACGGGATTGAATTAATTCGCGGATGGTGTCGCGCCAGCGATGGCCGGTTGGATAGTAATGCCAGATGGAATAAGGATCACGGAGGATCCAGGCATCGAAGTGGCGCATTCTTCTTTTTATTCTTTTGTTCGTTTGTTCTGTTAGAGATGTCTATACAAGAAGAGTTAAAAGTGAAAGATGGGGAAATTATGGGGGTTTTTATGGAATCCACTCCACTTCATATCGACTACATCTATTATACAGTATTAGTTATAGTATTATAATACTATAATCTCTTGAAAAGAATCCGAATGCGGATCTCCGACTGTAACCTAATGACATGTTGCATTGGAGTTGTATATGTACCAAGATAGTTAACCGGAGCAGAGTGCTCCAGTTAGTAAAGTATATACCTTACCTATATAGTTATCCTATATAGTTATCCTATATATACCCTATAGTAGAGTATATACAAGTCAATTCCCCTACTCAGACTCCACTCTCTCCTCATCATTCACATCCTTGTATCCCTCCACATCACGATACTCCACTCCACTCCCCCGCCGAACAGGACTCTCCTGCGAAAAAGCCACATAAATCGCACAGGCCAAAATGATCGCAGATCCAACCCAACTAACCGGACTCAGCGTACTTCCCCAAACAACCTTATCATAAAACACCGCAAAGAGCATCTGCATATAAAGCATTGACGTCGCACGTCCCCCCTGCGCCACCGGCTTCCCATCCGACACAGACGCAGGCGGGACATACGACAAACCCGCCGTCAACAAAAACTGCAACAGGAACCCACAAACACCCAATCCCGTCAGCAACGTCCACTCAACCACCGTATTAGGCACGCGGAACGGCACCGAAGGCAAGGTGACCATGGCCACGAACGAGATAACCGTCGTCACGGACGAGAAGTACGTCACAGACACAAGGGGATGCGCACGACGACCGATCATCCGGATGGAAGTATACGCACCTGAGGCGCCGACCACACCGATCAAAGCGACGATCGTCGCCACGACATGGTGGTAGGAATCTGTCTCGGAGGGGGTTTATCCTCGGTTGAAGAGGATATACCCAATGCCCAAGCGGCAGCGGCGGTTGGGGTTGCGATCGCAGTGTTCGGGTCACGCTTGCTGAATGGACGAGCGATGAGGACGACTCCGCCGAGAGAGATCAGACCGGCGAATAGCTGTTTCCGGGAGAAGGTCTCGCCGGGGATGAGGAGGGAGCAGGCGTAGCAGGAGATGATTGGTGAGAGGAAAGTTATAACTGTTGCCTCGGAGAGGGGGAGATATTGGACGGAGTAGTAGAGGCCGTAGACACCCATGAAACCGAAGAGGGCGCGGAGAAGGAGGAGACCGCGGACTGGTCGTGTGCCGAGTGGGGAGGGGGTTGAGGCGAGGAACATATATAGGTAGCTTGCGACTGCTGTTACGGACATGCGGGCGAAGAGGATCTGGGGGGGTGTTGTTAGTTGGGGTTTTATATAGAATTGGAGTTTGGCGACATAGGAATGAATGCAGATCGGATGGATACGAAATGATATTTCTATCTCTTACCTGGAAAGGATGCATAGCACTATGGATCTCCAAAACCTGCGTCATGACATTCATCGAGGCGGCAAAAGCCTGCGCTAGCAGGACAAGGCCCATACCCTTATTGCGCAGCCACCAGACCTGCCATGCATGGCGGGGTCTTGAAGCCGCAATAGCGACAGCCTCGTCATCTTCATCGTCCTCGATCGGACGGGGTTCTGATTGTGCCAATGCTGGCCGTGTGTCGGCTTCACTACCGCTTTCACAGTTGTAATCGTGTTCATCCTCGTCTTGAAATTGCGTTTGCGTTGAAGACGATCTCTGCTCCGATATCGATATCGAGTTCGATGCCGACTGCTCCACTCGGATCGGCAGGGGTGCGTCTGGATGATCTTGGTATTGGCCGGCTCCTGAGGCCGAATCAAGGTTTGGAGTGACCATTCTGGGGACTGTGTTCCTGAGGTCGTTATTTGTAAAGGGCGGGGATTTTGTGGGGATGCAGATGAAGGTATCTAGGCGATGACTCTCTTTCTCTCTTTTGGGATCGGACTGTCTTCTATAAAGGCTGGATGTGTAGTGTTGTCCTCGACAGCATAATAAATGCAGATCAATAATATATTCAGGCGAAAGGGAAGGATTCTTATATCTGCACTGGACTGCCGATCTGATTAAAAGAGATTTCAACTCGAAATGCGCATGACGGCCGAGTGGAGCCCGCGTTGACCACTAACCGCGGCCTTGCGTGTTTCTTTTTCTTTTTCTTTTTTTGTTTTCACCTTTGTTTTCTACTTTTTGATGACCTTGATTGCTATTTTTGAGTTGACTTGACTCGAAATGAGTAGCAAATTTAGTTGCCTAGTACCTGGTTGTGTAAGACTATGTACTCTGGGTTGTGTTAAGAGGTACAAGGTACAAGGTACAAGGCACAAGCGGCACGAGACCTCCTACCTCATGTACAAGCTACTAGTTACATATAAACATGCACTTAACCCGGATATTTGTCCGCTTCCCTTTACTTCCAAGGTTGTTATTGTACTACGCTTCGAATCTAAAATTCGACCTTAGTCTTGGAGACTCCAGGGCTGGAAATGTTGCTTACTAATCACAGTTTCAAACCGAGCTGCCTAGAAATGAGCCTCATATTGAATATTTAGTTTGTGGACAGTTAACAATGTCATTTATCGTGCTTCCACAATAGATCCACCGAGATATAATATATATTATCTCCCATGGTCCATGATGCCTCAGCCGAAAACACATGGTCTGTGCAGTATATCCAAATGCTGGTTTACCTCTACTTAATGTCGTAGTATCCGATTCAAGAATTCTGAATGGGTTCCTACTGTATCCTCTCCCATTCGATGAAGAGTGTAGGGATTGCAGTTGGGTCCATGAATCATTGGCCTCGAGATCGGAAGCAACTAGATACGATTATAGTATTCTGAGTATCAGATTCCCAGCCAAGAACAGCGGTAGAGCAGCCATTGTCATTGACTAGGATATTCCGACGAGTAGAGACACTATGGATAGAGCAAGTTCATAGTTATCAGCCTTGTACATCTGAATTGAAGGTCTGTGTCCCACACTGTGTGGGGTCCCTTGCCGGGTTTATAGTCCACAATGGTCTTGGCTTTGACTCTTCATAGTCACACTCTACATGTCATCCTTAGCGCAGGGGCATGCTAATCTTCTCTAATTATCCTCAGTTGACCATATGCCCCATTGCCCATTCCAACACATTGGTTAATACAGTCTTGCTTCTTTGGTTGACAGCTCGAATACTCATTGAATGCATACATGTAAGGAATAGGCAGAGCATCTGACATGGTTACATTGAATCCATGGATGGATACAACCTCTCAGGGCCGAGCCAATGAGAAAAGAAAAAAGAAAGTTCGTCCCAGTATCGGCTCGAACCTACGACCCACTCTGAAAACCTCGGAACATAAAACCCCACATAAACCCCTCACCCTAAGTCGTCGAAATGGAACGTCGAAAGGATGAAACCAAAACAAAAAAAGTTAGCGCATATTCATGATCCACGTTATGTCAATTCTGGAGGAACACATACCTTGGGAAGCTTTCGGGACGTGCCCCGAAGGGCGAAATATAGCGTCCTGGACTTCGTTTTAACCCCAATTTTTGGATGAAATTTACTATGTAGAATACAATACTCGATTGTGGTTGGCCGGAATTCCGAGTATCCGCTCTTTTGCGGGAGCGGGTCTCGAACCAACGACCCCATTTGCCGATCCCACGTGACGGCCTAATTCGGTAGTACCAATCAGAACCAGGTATTTTTATTAAACTGCCCCGCATATGTACACCATCAAAATAGGGTCTGTAAGGAAAGAAAAAATAGGTAGCTTCTCTTTGATTGAGACATGTCATCCTTAGTGCAGGGGCCATGCTAATCTTCTCTGTATATTTTCATTTGACCATATGCCCCGAAGGGCGAAAGGATCCCTGAATAGTTCAATATAACCTCACTTTTTGACATAATTATACCGCCTACTCTTTTGGGAATACGTAGCGAAATATTGGCATGTGATTTGGATTACATGACACTGATACAGCACGGGCCTTCCACCTGGACACCTGGGTGGGCAGTCCACTTGGTTACGTTTATATATAATCAATCCATCTTGCTGTCTGGGTTGGGATGACGATTGGGTGAATGAGTGGACAATGTAAGAGGCTGTGTGTCAAGTCATGCACTATATATATCGGAACCTGGTCTATCTGAGCGTAATTGCTCAGATATAATGGTCTTTTGGCCTAGTGTGTAACTCGCCAGTCCAGGGGCAGGTGGTTAACACCGTGGATAGTTGATGTTTACGTTTCAGTAAAAAGTGGAACGGGGAAGCAAACGGCGCTTTAGAGGTCAGGTAAATGGATCGAGAGAGAATGGAACATAACATGAGCTTGGTTGTCACGGCGACGGAATGGTAATGGAGATTGATTCATCTGATATTCTTGGTCCATACAGAAATCCTGTAGGTGAACATACTACTATATTGATGATACATGTACAACATAGAGTCTAAACCGCATCTTTCTCCATAATCAGATACCTCTGATCAGGAGATCGGTGGTGTGGCCTGCCAATACAAATGCATTTAAACCACTATTTGCAAATAACTACCATAACTATCTATATACCAATTTGCACCCCTACTATCTTTACCTGCCATTGCAGCTTTATGTTCAGACTCAGCTAAATCCCTTGCTTTTTGAGCCTATTCTTTAACCTCAAACTCCTCCGTTAAATACTATTCCTCACTTCTTTTCAACCCTCGCAACTACCATTCGATCATGTCCCTCATAAGATCTCACAGCCAGTGGCCTGGAGACACCCCCTCCTTCATTCGCCGACACGAAGAACCCGTGGCCCCGGAAATTTTGATGCAGCTTCTCGTGCATGGAGGTATTTTGTTCGTGACCAGTGGGTCGGCGGCGACGCAACGCACGGGGATCAACAGAAACGAGCTTTGATCAAACGGTGGGCAATAGCAGACCAACAATTTCACGATGTATGTATATCTTTAATTTGGAAGAACCTCTTATTTCCCCACTGACACCAAGACAGAGCTATCAATCCCGAGCACCAGAGGACGAGCCTATTTTGAAGATCCCGAACTTACAGTACGAAGTATCTTCTACTATTTGACTTCTTCTAATCGAGGCATAGGACTAAAGGTTTACAGGAAATGACGTTCAAAATTTCTGCATGGTCTACTTCTACACCACCGAATTGACCGGCAAGAAAGAAGCCCTGCTAGCCAAGTGCATCTTGGGTTTATTCCCATGGGAACAAGGCTGGGAATTTCTAGCAGAAGCAGGCGAAATGATAATGTTTCTCCCGTTAGAAGATAATCAAGAAGATATTCCCGAGACATTCAAGTTCCATCAAAGTCTCGCCCGACCCAATTTCCTTGATATGCACATGGCGCTCGATGGAACGGTGTTTTTTAGGGACTGCTATGTCAAGCCCATTATTGATGACCGGACCATTGAGACCGGACTGGGTCTTTGGGTTGAATTCGCAACGAACGGTATCTACAAGAAAGCCCACCGGTCTCAAATTATAAATTATGAAAGAGGAATTCGCCCACTTTTATTGTGAAGTCGGTCCGGGAAATCAGGTCCCAATAGAGCAGGCGCTGAATTACATACAGTCACGGGTAATATATCAAGACTGCGATGAAGATGCGGATGCGGATCCAAGAGAGATCTTGGAGGATGAGCCGTAAGTCTGTCCATTCTTGGTTACTAGATAGTATATATTAACCGGTTCTGAGAGTTGATATGCGACGGCCGCTCGTGGAAATCTACCGAGGGGGTGAAGTCGATCTAGTGGATGACTATGTGCCAGGCTTTCGTGAGGCGGAGGAGCAGGGTAACGGCTTAGCAATCGGATATGATTTGGAACAGATACTTGCGAATGATAAGATCATGGAAGTGATCATTAGCTAGACTTTACTTATTGTTCCCATCTACTTGGTTCCTTTAATGAACAAAATACCCCTAACGTTCAGTTATTGGTTATATCAGGCGCTTAGGGCAGCGTGTTATCGACATAAAGAAGCAATTGGTCCAGAATACGCATCAGGATACGCATCAGGTTAATATTCGAGCGTATTTTTGGCAGGATTCACGATTTTTGTTTGAGACCCGTATTGAAGAATGGGCACTGTGTCCATCATTTTTCTAATACCGTCCAGATCCAAATTGAGTGTCCGGTAGCAATCCATGTTTTCGGCGATATACGATAGTCGTCGGGTCAGAGTAAGGGGTGGCTTAAGAGCTTAAGAGTATGCGTGGCAGTAGAGTCGGGCCGTGGCTTGGTACAACTCCTTAAGACGAGAGAACATGTCTCGGAAACCGACATAATACAAACAAATACAAAGAACCGCATAGTTGAAGTGGTATAAAGGAATGGTTCATATATCTATCTACCTTAAAAAAGCATCCACAAGCTCTGTTTATACAAAAGTAAAGGTATCACCGCCCTTCTCCCGCAACATATTTCCAGTCCTGGACGTACCAACAACACGCTCCAACTTCAGCGCATCCCATTTCGAGAACAGCGCACGAACACCACCCTCAGCAGCCTCAATCAACGCTGCAGGATCAAGACCCAAGAACCCAACAATCTCACCATAGAACAGTCCATTATCCGGGAGCCCGTACATGACTACACGTTTAACACCACGGACCTGGTAACGGCGGAAGTGGTGCGCGCGCTCGGTATACAGTAGCACAGAGTGGCGACCGGACACGAAATGACTGCGGGCACGGTTGGCCTCCTTCGGCTCGGTGTACTCGGAGATAGCGCCAAAGGAAATATTGGTTGTCTGCGTGGAGGTGGCGAAGTGGTTGCGCACGCGGACGAAGTCGAGGTAGGACGGGATGAAGATGAGAGTGCCGGCGCCGCCCTTGCCGCGGCCGTGCGTGATGTTCTTCACCAGGGTGGACAGGATGGTTGTTGTGAAGTGCTTGAAGCGCGCGTCGGGGTCTTTAATAGGCGACGTGCTGTCGATGCGGGTGAAGGTTTGCTTAGCAGGGACTGCGAGCGGGAGCTCGGTGATAGCGCCGGCGTAGGTGGGTGTTACCTTTAGGCGGCCCGAGGCGTTTTGCATCTGGGATGAGAAGAGGGCGTTGATCTCCGGGGTAATGCAGGATGAGACCACTACGGTTTGTCGGACGTGACGGGCTTGGTTGTCCAAGTACCAGTTGCGGACGCGGCCGAAGTCGCAGCCGTGTGCTTGTTTCGGTTGCAGGTTGAGGTGCTGGAAGATGTAGTCGACGTGGTCCCAGTTTTGCATGAGGAGGGCGTCAGCGTGGTCGACCACTACCATCTCGATCGAAGAGAGGAAGTCGTGGTCGCGCTTTTTGACATCGGATTGGTCCATGATCGTACGCAGACCCAATGGACTGGCTAGGATGATGTCGGAACTGTAGAATTGGGCGAAATATTTGACTGTCTTGCGCGTGAACTTGAGACCCAGTCGGAACATGTCATCGTCATTGCCGCCGAAAAGCTCTCGGAAATCTTCGGTCTTGTGCTCCCAAGAATCATCATTTGGCGCTGAGAACGAGTCGGTGAAGCGCTTTTTGTTTTCTTGCTGCTCGGGCTGATAGATCCGAGTGATCGCATCGAGAACCTTAACACATGCCTGTCGGGTGGGCAGGATGTAGAGAACCTTGGGTCGGGTAAATCCCTGGTCACGGCACTCGATGTCGGTGTCCGGGTCCTTGGATATGCGGGCGTTGTTTTTGAGGACTTGGTCTCGGGTCTTCAGCAGGTGGTTGACGGCGTGCAAAGCAACCATCTCGCGCATCTCATTTGCATTGGAAGAAGTGCGGGCACCGTAGAGAACATCTTGGTAGTCGAACACATACGGCGCGATGATTTGGGCTTGACCAGTAATTTTAGGCAGGATCTCGGCCGCACGAGACTTCAATTTTTGTTTGAGCTGCGCGATTGCATGTTAGTATTGAAGGCAGCATAAAACCCGTCACTGTTCCGCTTACCTTGATATTGGTTGTGCTCTTCATTGGGGGAAGAATTGATGCGCTGTTTGCTCCCGTGTCAGGAACAGTATGTACCAGCCGTAGCCCATCGACCTCTTTCTTAACGGATGCCCATTTGTTCGATTGGATAGGCTCAATCTGCTTGGTCAAATCTTCACTATCGCGGAGATCGAAGTGCTTCTCAAAAGCAGCAGTTGGGTCCTCGTCCTCGTCTGCTTCCTCCTCTTCATCGTCGGACGGCGCTTGGGCTTCCAAGTCATCATCGCCCTGCTCTGGTTCCTCTACAGGTTCTGCCATTTGAATCTCAGCATTGGAGTCGGTGGCAATCTTGCGCTTCTTCCGAGCTGGTCCGCTTGACTCATTGGGTTGAAGTAGCTGGAGGAGTTCGTTGTAGGGGCGTTCGGTATTCTCGTCTTCTTCCTCGCTGCTGGAGGCGCCCTCGTCCATAAGGGTATCATCGCCCAATTCCTCTTCGGATTGCTCGCTAGCGTCATCTTCACCAGAAGAACCGTCCGATCTAGTACTTATTAGATACAGTCATTGAAAAACTTTTGGACTGTGAGAACTTACTCGGACTCGTTCAATCGCGAAGTGGCAAAGTTGTTGCGACCACCACGACCACCACGACCGCCGCGACCTCGACCTCTGCCACCACGGCCACCACGGCCTCGAGCTCCTCTAAAAGAACCACCACGAGGAGCAGGCATATTTTCAGGGTATAAGTAGAAAGATTGGGGCAATTCCAAGCTGTTCTGGCCGAAATGAGAATTTTGGGGGTGCTTATCTTATCTTAGCGCGAAATTTCCCACACACAACAGAATCGGAACAATCAGAGCGGCTCACTCCACTTCCCAAGGAAAAATTGAACCTCCGAGAAAACGAAGGGAAGTTTGGATCTTGAAACTTGCAAGGTATTCATTCCACACAAATTAAATCATGGCTGAAGATTCTTTCCTTCATCTTGCTCGCCCCCTCGGCCCCGTTAGTGTGGGGACCGCTCCTACCACTGCCCCTCTAAACGTGGTCATTCAACCCCAGGTATGTTGCGATATGTGTGTTATATGATCTGAGGGGTAAAGCTCATTTCTCCCCCAAGGCAATCTTCTCGGTTCTCGACCACTCTCTTCGCCGCAATGCCGACCAGGAGCGTGTCATCGGTACACTGCTCGGAACACGATCTGAGGATGGAAGTGAGGTCGAGGTCCGATCCGCCTTCGCTGTCGGTCACTCCGAGGCTGAGGACCAGGTCGAGGTCGATATGGAATACCACAAGCAGATGCTCGCTTTGCATCTGAAGGCCAACCCCCGCGAAGTCTTGGTTGGCTGGTACGCCACTGCTTCCGAACTCAACACTTTCTCCGCTTTGATCCAGAACTTCTACAGCGGCCAGGGTGATGGTACCTGGCCTCACCCCGCTGTCCACCTGACTGTCTCCACCGAGGCTGGAAAGGATCTCGAGACCCGCGCCTACATTTCCGCCCCCGTTGGTGTCACCGCTGAGCGTGCTGCCGACAGCGCTGCTTTCATCCCAGTTCCCTACGAGCTCCGATACGCCGAGGCCGACAAGAGCGGTCTCGAGTCTATCGCCAACGCCAAGGATGCTGAGGACCGTTCCACTTCCGTCACTTCCGACATTGAGTCTCTGGAGCGCGCCGTTGAGGAGGTTCTGTCCATGGTTGACCGTGTCTCGCGCTACGTCGAGTCCGTGATCGATGAGGAGACCCCCGCTTCCACCGCCATGGGCCAGTTCCTGCTTAATGCTCTTGCTCTTGCTCCCAAGGTCGAGGCTGCCGACATTGAGCGTGACTTGTATGTTGAACCTGCATTATATTCCCCGGTCTTTCTTATCACTAACTTTCCACAGCAACAACCACATCCAGGACGTCCTGGTCGTTTCTTACCTCGCCAACACCGTGCGCACACAGATGGAGCTTTCCACCCGACTAGCAACTGCCCAGCTTACCCTCGGCGGTGGCGGCGGCGAAGGGCCCGCTACCGGCGAGCAGCGCAACCAGCGTGGCGGTAAGGGCAACCAACAAGGCGGCCGCCCACGCCAGGACCGCAACGAGGAAGCCCGCGCATGAGAGGTTTTCCCACAGCAAACAAACGCTGATGCATAATGTGACCAATTGCGAGAGGAACATATCCCTTCAAGTGAACGTCGATGTCTCCCACGTTCTCTTCCCTTTCTATCTCACCCCTCCCTGACGTTATTACTTTTGGGTCTTTCGCTTCTTTGTTTACTATCCCTCTACCGCCTTCTTCCTTTTTCTTTTCCTTTTTCCGGCTTCCTCTTTTTTTTTCCTCGCGAGGCTTACATGTTCTCTCCGAAGCTCACGGACTGCGGCCTGGTCACGTCCCATCAACGGCTTGGTCTGTCTTGACGTCCAGACACGGTCTTCAGCACTTGGTGTTGTGGTATTGAGACCGATCTAATATCAATACAATTGGTATAACTTGTGGTGGTTGATGAGGGTGACGATGTCGTTTTGATAGAGAATATTCGGGGGTGATGAGTCTAGACTGTTGAAGATGAGAGATGGGTCTGCTGAGAGCCAATCTCTCCGGTTTACGAAGTCGCATCTTTCTAGGCGCGGCGTTTTCAGTTATGATGAAATGGACATAAAAGTTCTAGAGCTTCTTCGTATTGTATATCCCATCATTTACTACTCCGGCCATGGTCATCAAAGTACATATGCATATACATCGGTAGACAGGCTACATGTCTGCACTATAGCAAGTTATACTCACTAGGATGACTCAGTGGCCATGTATTGGGTGCTCGGCTAGTGCCCAACCATATCTCTCAGGTACTCGACACAAAGTCACTTGTCATACAATTGGCAAACTACATGGCTACTCGACAGTCCTGGTACGCAGGGTCAGGTAGCCACAGCTCTGATATTGATCTTCGGCACCTCGCCAACTAACGTGTACGTACGCGTGACTGGTATTATCGAGGGCGCTGCTAGTATGGGCAGTAAGCATGATCATCATTCTTTGGAATATATCCCACTGTTCGATCCTCAATGATAGCAAATTCGATTGATTCGAGTTTTGTCAGCCGGAAGGGGGAAAGACGGTTGGAGCTCTAGGAAAAGGAACAGAAGCCCTAATAAGTACATATAGTGGATCTCATCTTTACCGATCTCCACGGTTACAGCGGTTGAACTAGGGAACCAAAAGAGCATAGCATAAGAGATCTACTCGGACAATAAAAGGCTTGGAAGGGCAGTTAAAAGAGAATGAAACTTCCAATGAAGAACTCAATGAAGATTCCACGCGAATACTAGGCGGCTACATGCAATGCATAAACATGCAATCAATCGCTAATTGTCAAGTCTCGACTTAAGGTCGATTGAAACCATAAAGTAAGCTCGACTCTATAGAGATGGCGGTAAAAATACACCGCTTTGCCTAGCCAACATGTGTCCGCCTAGCCTCGGCTAGCGATCCATCTCCTCGATCAAGCTGAGATCAATACCAGGAGCAGCAAGAAGGAGCTTCAAAATGCCCTCATGGCCTTCATCTATAGCAAGAGATAGAGGTGTATCGCCATCGCTATTACCGAGATTGGGATCAATATCAGGAGCTTCAAGAAGAAGCTTCACAATGCCTTCGTGACCTAGCCATATAGCGATAGAGAGAGGTGCATCGCCATCGCCAAATCTAGCACCGAGATTGGGATCAATATTAGGAGAATCAAGAAGGAGCTTCACAATGCCCTCGTGGTCTTTACTTATAGCGAGAGATAGAGGTGTATCGCCAATGCTATCACCGAGATTTGGATCAATATCAGGAGCATCAAGAAGGAGCTTCACAATACCCTCGTGACCTCGCCATGAAGCGAGAGAGAGAGGTAGATAGCCAGAGCTATCACCGATATTAGGATCAATATCAGGAGTAGCAAGAAGGAGCTTCACAATGCCCTCGTAGCCTTTGCGTATGGCGAGAGATAGGGGTATATTGCCGGAGCTATCACGGAGATTGGGATAAATACCAGGAGTAGCAAGAAGGAGCTTCACAATTCCCTCGTGATCTTTGCGCATAGCGAGATATAGAGGTGTATCGCCATCGCTGTCACCGAGATTGGGATCAATATCAGGAGCATCAAGAAGGAGCTTTACAATTCCCTCTTGACCTCGCCATGAAGCGATAGAGAGAGGTAGGTAACCAGAGCTATCACCGATATTAGGATCAATATCAGGAGTAGCAAGAAGGAGCTTCACAATGCCCTCGTAGTCTTTGCGTACAGCGAGAGATAGAGGTGCATCGCCACCGCTATCATAGAGGTTAAGATCAATACCAGGAGTAGCAAGAAGGAGCTTCACAATGCCCTCGTGGCCTTCGCGTATAGCGAGAGATAGAGGCGTATCGCCAAAACTATCATAGAGATTAGGATCAATATCAGGAGTAGTAAGAAGGAGCTCCACAATGCCCTCGTGGGCTCTATATATAGCGAGAGATAGAGGGGTTCCAGCATAACTAGTAGTAGAGTTGACATCAACATCAGGGCGAGCAAGTAGTGTTTGGACAATCATGTCAAGCCCTAGGTATGATGCAACATGAAGAGGGGAAGGGTTCACAGAGCGTCCGATTTCGTTAACAGCAATCTCCCAGTCCATATATTGGTCTTTTTCGACGGAACAGAGTTCGATAGCTGCAGGGAAAAACTCATGGCGATATTGAATCGTCATATGACCAAAATGAGCTGCCCAATTATTTGCTGAGTAGTCAAGAAAATCATAACTGGAACACAAATCCTCAGCATCTCTAATCGGGGGAGCTTGCTTCTTTCCGAGCTCTTTAAGATATAAAAAGCGGATGCAGATCGAAGTGAGTAGTAAGGCCGATTCGGAAACTGAAATAGAATACTTCCAGCTGGACTCAATGGGTGACACTTCATCTGATAAGGATACCAAGAAGTCTTTAGCAGATTGGTGGATTAGAAAGACCGTCTCATCTACTATATGGACAAAAAGTCCACAAGTATTCCGGACGGCTATCTCAAGCTGATCACCCCTTTGGAGCTCTAGATCTTCGTAGCACTGGGTTTCCTCTGTGATAGCCAATGCAACACCGACTTCATTGAGGCTAAGTGGTCTGGTCGCTGCCACGATGATTTGAAGCAGTTTCTTGGCCTGAGCTTGGTCTGTAACTTTGCGAAGAATGGAATTATAGACGTCATCCACAGTCGTTGGTAGGTTTTCCAACAGTCTCTTGACTGCTTGTCTGTCTATTCGTGGCATCTCTTCAATGATTTTGAATATCAGATCCAGCCAGAGGTATGTCCGATTCTCAGTCGCCAGTATCCCACTAAGAAGTTCTTCTCTTGTGGTTTCTCTCACAATCCGGGGGCCTAATTTGGACATTCGAGCATGCACAACATGATTCATTTCGGATTGAAGTTGCGTAGAAAGTTTTTCACTTGGCAACCGAATTCCAGGAATGTCCTCGATGAGTTCTCTGAACTCATTTTCGATGTTCAAATATGGACGACTGGTCACAAGGATCTTAAGATGGTGTGTCGAAGGCCGAGATTCCTTGTAGCGTTCAAGACCTTTAAGCCGCTTGATAAGATCCTTCTGGTCTTTCATTTCGCACTCATCTAATGCATCCAAGACAAAGATGATTCGTCCACATTCTGGATCTTGGGATATATCTCTTAAGATCTTCCACATGGTATCGAGACTCTGGCATACTTTATTTGCATTTTCAAGGTATGCCGGGAGCGCATGCCTCATGGCTTTCCGGCCACATTTAGATTTCAGGACCTGATGTAACAAGGCCGCGACTGCATTGGCAGGTCTCCGAGTTTCGGGTGATGTGTCCTTGAAAAAGAAATAGCAGATGGTCGTGTCGCTAGACTCGAGGCCAAACAGGCGGTTGTCAACAAGATCCTTGGAAAGAACAGATTTGCCACAGCCTGGATCTGCTGTGATCCATAACAGACAAGACGAGTCATTTTCTTGCCAATTCTGGAAAATCGGACTTTGAAGGCACCAGTTGCATGTTCCATCTTCCTTGTCTGGATTGAAATCTTTCTGGTATTCATAGTTCGTAGTGCGAAAAGCTTGAAGACATTCCGTTTCTTTGTCCGACTTTTGCCATAACTCCAGTTGTTCAAGTTGTCGTAGAACCTTTGTCATCACTAGCGACAAGAAGTCAACGTTTGCTTCTTTAGCCCTACGCATAAATAGTTGAAAGGACCGCCCGAAATGTTCTCAGGAGGTGTAAGTACAGAAAGTCTCATTGATGAAATCCTTCCAATGTATGATGATAACTCAACATGTTACTTACATTTGTCAACGGGAGGCAAGAGGAGAACACCCTGTCCTGGAATTCCGAGCAAAAGCTCCTTTGCGTAGGCAGCGGCAACAGTAGCGGCATATGGCTGCCAAATCTTGTTCTTGTGTGAATCTGCATAGTCACAGATGCCTCTGATTACAAGGCATGGGAATGTATCCATGAGCCCTGGTCAAGAAGGTGAGACACAAGAAAATAGGCTATAAATGGTGTTGAGTACTTACCTGCAGCTTCCATTTCGAAGCATTTGATCTTGTCCCTTTGGGACCATTTGTCCCTCAAGAGAGCATCCTTCATCACTTGATCTGCAGATCCAATCGTCCCGTAATGTATTTGAGGCTCATCACTTGACCGCTGCTTTCTCTTCACAAGATTCATATCACCAGGGCCGCAGCACGACTCGCACTTCTTTCCCGCCACATGAGCAATTTCAGACTTGAATAACTGATCTTTGGCTGATCCCGGGTGCTTGAATTTCTTTTCCATCCGGGGATTGTCTACAAGCATTTTGGAAAGTAGCTCGCAAATCTTGTGGCCTTTCCGTTCATGCTGGCCTTGCAGCATAGAGACTGCATTCAAGACAATTCCCGGGGGCTTGTTCAGCTGCCCTCCAGCACGGATGAACTCTTGGTTCTGTATAGACCTTCCAAAGTCATACTGAATGACGGCTTCCGAAGACTTTGAATGTTTGCTGATCACCACATCCCCCAATCTGATGTCTTGGATTTCGTCCGGATCCTCGTCTTCAGAGTCATCGGATTCATCGACATCGACATCATTCTGCCCTCTGTAGTATGGCACCCCACCTCCAATTCCGACCATCAATCCGAATCTGATAGCAGGAAGCTGCGCACCATGTCTTTTGCCACAGTAGCAGCGGGAACCTTTCCTGTTTGCTCTACAGGCAAACAAGCAATCACCACATTATGATCCCCGACTCTACCTAAGAGGTAAGAGTTGATATCATTTGGATCGGCTGCGTGAAGAACGGGGTGTTCATCATCCAACATGGCGCCAGCGGCTACCAACTCAGTCTGCGGCAAGGCGCATATCCACCCAACGGTGTAGTCTGCATGGGAAAACTCCTGAGTATTCCCATTCATGGTGTACAAAATGAAGATCTGCTAATTCTTGCAAGATATTTGCATAGTTTTGGGAGGTTTCTGTGTCTCTAGGGTGGTGGAGGCAACGCACCCCGTAAGCAATGTCAGCTGCCCAACCCCGGCGCTTATGTGCAGCCAGTACTTGCTGTCCAAGTGGAGGATCGGGTAATGTTACGAAAGACATAATAAAGGATACTGACTGACTGGATGAGATAGGTAGTTATCTTCTGTGCGAATAATATCGACTAGGTGGGTATCTTTTTATAGACAACCCCGATACCGCGTTCTCGATCTGCCACTCAGTCAGACATCGTACATCTCATCAGGTTCAAAATAGACCTGTGATCAACCTCTTCGTTCTCTGTCTCTTGGCCCAGGATGACCGATTCTTCGTACGTAGAAGCTGAATAAGTTCCAAATTACAGTTGTAGATAGCAATAGAAAGGCTGTTTCCTTGCTCCTGCATGTCCACTGGGCTCCAGCGTCTAAGAGTCGATTACAAGCTGGAGTATAGTTTGCATTTGCAGCAAGTTGAACTAGTCCAACGCCCATTGAGTTGACCTATTCAAGACAGCCGTCGAGATTGTCCTACTATTTCCCCAATGCTGTACAAATGCCTAATCCTGTCACAACGGAGGAACAAACGCAGGTGCCAAGACCTACCAAACGCTGCTCCTTGTGGGAGAGCCCAGGAACTCTCCCATTCATGGAATCCTTGATCTTCCAATAGCCAATTGCATGTATCGGCAGTCCGTTTCTCTTGATATTCCTGGTGGTGTGTCGTGTATAGAATGGATGATATTGCCTCCAGAGGTTGGATCATCTTTGCGCTTTTCATTACCGAGCTGGCAATAACTGTGTCGCAAGAGAGTTGTTTTGAGTGTATACAATCATTTTCATTGCGCTTCTGTATATACCATGCAATTCAGTTGGGAGGGGTTGCAGCACATCTTCGCGTGTTCTTTCAGATGTATAGAGTATCTCGTAGATCTGGCCATGATACACAACCTTGAAAACCTCGCCCATGGTCCCAAGCAAGGCAAGAATTTGGTGATCGTAGGTAACAGGTATTTGCAAAACACCCTTAATCAAGCCCCATGGGGCAAATGCCGCGGTTGGCGCAAATGGAATGACCAAGTCTCCAAGTTTCTGCAGCCATGTGGCAGACTTTACAGCTTAACAATAATGACATGATCCCCGAAGTAAATAAAGTGAGCATTGCAATCCAAGTATCCATTCTCATTGCATTTTCTGGTTATTTCATCGTAGTTAAAAAGTAATTGTACATTGATTGTTGGAAAAGAAACACACGTTGGGTATTAAGTCATGTTCGTCGTGACTCCACCCACAAGACGCCTAGGCAGGCGTAGGTGGAGCTATTAAGGGTGCATATTTCAGCCAATCGTCTTGCGCTTCTTCGGAACCGACTCCTCCGTAGCATCAGATCCACGGCGGGTAGCAGCACCTCTCTTGCCCTTGCCCTTGCTCTTCTTGGTAACCGTAGCAGCAGCAGCAGCTTCAGCGGCCACAGGATCCTCACCAGCTGCAGCCGCCGCCGCCGCAGCGGCAGCACCCTTCTTTCCAGCTTCCTTGGCAACCTGGTCATCATTCTGGTCAAATGCTTTACGGGCTTCCTTCAATTCACGTTCCATGCGCAACAGCTCCTGGACACGGCCGAGCTTGTTCGGGTCACGACGTAGTGCGAAGCGGAAATCCTCAACCTTGATCTTTTGACGGCGGGCATGGTGCGCAACTTGCGCGGCACCATGGCTGAGTTCAAGCACGAAGTCGGTGACAATCTCGTCCAGCACGCGGACGGTCTCGGGAAGTGGTTCGTTTGGGAAGCTCGGGTGTGGGCTGGGGTCGCCGTAAGCGAGAAGGAGCAGACGAACTACGGAGATGGTTAGCATTGAGCTTGATTGGTAGCTTCCATTGATGGATGCTCGTGGGCCGTAGGAACTTACGCTCATTCTGGAAGTTCATTTGGCCCTTGTGTCGGGCCATACGTGCACGTGGTTCAGCCATGGCGGGTTTGGTTGCGGGACCTTTCTTGCCCTTTTCGGTAGAGGTAGGTGTCGTGTCAGTTGGCTTGGGAGTCCACTGAGGTTCGTATCCGGCGCGGATTAGCGCTGTATCTTGCTCATTGAAATACCAATTTGGCGAGAGCTTGGAGACAAGGTTTTTGGAGCTAGGCTGGCGCGACGGATTGCGAGTCGAGTCGGATGAGGTAGACTTTGAAGTTGATGAGGAGGTGTTTGGGGTTTGCAAGTGACGGGTTGAAGTTGGCGAAACAGAGTTTGAAGTTGGAGTTGCTGTGTTCGGAGTCTGGAGACGCGCGTTTAGAGTCGAAGAGGATGTGTCCGGAGTTTGCAGGTGACGGTCTGGAGTGGTTGAGACGGTGTCTGGAGCCTGGAAGTGAGCGTTTCCGGTTGAGCTTGAGGTGTCCGGAGTTTGCAATCCAGTGTAAGTATCTGGCAAGATGCGTTGCGGAGTTGGCGTAGAAGGTAGCGGAGATGGGCTCAGGCTTGGCAGCGAAAACGATACCCGCTTGGGTACTTGGCCCGTGCGTTTGGCGGACATGACGGGCAGAATATGCTAGACTGGGGTTGGTTAGCAACCTTGGCACATGCAAGCTATCTGGCAACTTACTGTCGCAATTCTGTTTCTTTGCCCAAGTGACGGGCGAAGATTTCACAGCTGCACAAAATGGTAAGTTTATGCACATGGTAGAATTTATGGGAGTGACTGCTCTGTGGTGGGAGAACATGCGACTCTGTCGAGACCACAATGACGGTATGGTCACAATGTGCTAACTGTCACACTCACCTAGTCTGCTCTTTTCAACTTCCAGTCGTTGCTTCTTGTGATTCTCCTAATAATCTGCACGAGCAGCTATGCGCACTCGATAATGCCGGGGATCATGGACCGGAACCAGAATGGGTAGGTTCTCACTTGAGGATTCGGATCCGGGGGTGGAGAAAGATGGCGGGGAGACTAACGGTTGTTTGATGTAGAATCTTTGGGATCTTCTGGAAGTGTGCTCGAGTCGGAGAACGGCTTAGCCCGTATGTCAGCATATGCTGTGTCGTGATGGCAGTAAGTTCACTCTTCCGCAAGTCCAGATGTATGAAGAGAGATACTGAAGTTGCATGCAGGTCTCGATCTTCTTCGGCGGTTAACCTTGCTTAAATCTCAATGAGTGATTGAAGGAGAATTTCCATGGAGTATCAATGGGGATCAATAGGGATCAATAGGGATCAATAGGTTGTGTGGTAGTCTCCGACTTCGTGACAATCAAACCTCAAGTGACCTTGGACTGAGAACTATGAGACTACTATGTCCACTCCATGTGACAGTCTCCAGATGCAATGAGACATTCAAACGAAACAATTTCATGATGATGCAATGTATAGTACATGATATTCAAATTTACAAAAAAAGTTCAAAGCCACTTCTACAACACCTATGCGTCCAAAATGCTCCCAGGTTGCTTTGCCCAAAGGCAACAATAAAAGACAAAAGGGTATCCTATCTTACATCTTAGGCTTCGACTTTGACTCCAACTTCTCCAAGCCATTGTCAATGAGTTCGTCGTGCTCCATCTGATCACTGTGCACATCAGATGCGGGCTCGAGAGTGAGAAGCTTATGGGTTCCATCCGAGTCAAGGCCCTCATCCATCTCCTCGATCGCCACCCAAAGGCGTTCTGGGTCACGGAGATAACGTAGACTCTTCATCGTGTAATGGTCAATGGCAAAGCCTTCCTTTTCCATCTTCGTGATTGCACTAGCAGTCTCAGGGATGTCCTGTGCATTCGCGAATCCGTTGATGATGGTGTTCCAAGTCACCTGGTTGTACTCCACGTCATGTTTGGCCATCATCTCCTTGACTTTCTCGGCTGCATCGGGCTGGCGGCTGTAATTAAAGGCACTGAGGAGAATGGTCCAAGTGCGAGGTGTAGGCATAATGTGCTTGAGAGGCTTGCCAGTAGTAGTCTCTTTCGGCATGGCAGATGCGTCAAGCATGTCTTCAACGAGACGAATGCTTGACCGTAGTCCACGGCTGCTCTTGCGGAAGGCAATAAGGAATTCATTATAGACGTGGTCAGTTTCGACCAGAGGAGCAATGGATGGGTGACCCTGCTGCACGAGCTCGCGGAATCTGTCATACATGTGATGTACTTGCGATATCCGATTCCTGCAACGGAAGAATGTTGCGATCATGAGGAACAAGGATACGGGAGAAGGTGGAGTTTTGACTTCAAGTCCTTGAGTTGGCGGTGGTGTATATTGGGGAGGGAGTAGAAGGAGTTCTTTGAGGGGTGTAATGTCGTGGATTTTGTTGTACATGTCGAGCATAGAGTAAAAGACTCCCGAGGGATCGCTCTCGGGATCAATATGCTTGGCGGTAAAAGTGAAATGTGCGTGAAAGATTTTGCTGAAAATGTATGGGTTGTGTCGTAGTTCCTCTTGCATCTCGACTTCCCGCACCAACTCGTCCACACGGCCCCGGTCGCCCCGGGATACTGCATCAGTGAGGAGAGTCAAGTATGTATAAGAATCAAATTCATGGTGGTGATTCTTCATGAACTGAAGCATGTCCGACCCCAATTGAGGATCACCGGTTTTGTAAGCATTGGCAAGCACGAGATTCATCATGTCTCGGTCTGGCTGGACACCCATTTTCAGAAGTCGTGGGAGGATACGGAAATTGCGTCCTCCGGCGTTATCCTCAACAGTGTCCAGGGTCAGAAGCTTGCAACAGTGCCGCAGAACTCCTTCAGAGTCCATGGAGAATTCAGGATCATTGATTTTGGGAATAAATTCGAGGGCTCGTAGGGCATACTCCACATCCTTCAATTCTGTGAATCGGTACATGTAGCAAAGTGCTGTTTGCGCTTGCATCGTGATGCCTCGCTCGTTCATTAAACGGAAACTCTCATAGACACCTAAGAAACCTGCTCGGCGAACGTAGAACCGTATACCCCTTTGTGGCGGTGAGATAATTGGCCAGTCCTTTGGATCGAGGGAAGTTTCAACAACCGATTCGAATGTGTGGGTACCCTTCGTCCAGTCCCGGAGCTCTTCATAATGGAATCTTTCCAAGTAGGCCAAGCAATCGACAACCATAGTGAAATCCGGTTTATCTCGAGGCTCGGTTGTGACGAGTAAAAACTCCAAGGCCATTGCCGGGTTATTTTGCAGCAGCCAAACGGCCAGGCGTTGCCAGGCCCTGGCCCTGTTAGGGCGGTTCATTACTAGCCACGCCTCTCGAAACTTGCCTTGGCAGTCATCAAGAAGCAAGTCCAGCAGTTGCTCGCCATCTTCTCCCAGCTTTGGCAGTGCAGATTTGTTCAAGATCTCATGGCCATGTGTCTTAGCTGTGTGAACTGCTCCATATGCTTGCTTCCACTGACGGAGTCCCAGCTCACGCGTATAAAGCGAATTCATTCGCATTGCAAGCGCCAGGTATAGCCCTCGATCGGTCAAGTGCCTACCGTTGTGTAAGATTTCGCGATTGACTCTCTCGGCCGCCATGGCCACAAGCTTGGGATCAGCTTGTCGCACATAGGCAACCTTCTTCATTTTATCATTCGTTATAATGGGTGTCTGCGAGGGCCTTCGTGCTTGGGGCGAAGATTTCGATTGTCCATGGCCCATGCCATACCGATTTGTTGCGACCTGATCTGATTGTTCACTTGTCGGCGGACATGAACTGGTCGAATCGCGGTTATGTTGATATGATATGGAGTCAGGGGCATCATGTGTCATGCCAGGTTCTAATATCGCTAGAGCATTATATGTGGAGAGGCGCGCTCTATGACTGACATTCACCGTCCCCGACTCCCGATACCATCGGCCTGGGCTTCGACATTGTGGTGAGAGCAACCCGTTGAGACGGGACCGAACGAGTTGGTGGGGACACGATGACATTCAGGAGCTGGTGTCCACAAACATTTGGCTGGGGAAGACCAAGACGAAGAAAAGAAGTCAAGTATGGCGCGTGGAGAAAGTAGTCAAAGTCCAATGACAGAAAGTTGAATTCCACCATTCCGCCCGATTTTGCCGTGGCTGGTGTGTGGCGCACCACATCTACTTTTATCGCTCCATCATCTTCAACTTGCAACCCGCGGAGGAGCTTGGGACTTTCTTCCGGTCAGTTCAATCACTTTATTTCCTAGTATCAAGCCAACATATTTATCTCATTATCAGTTCGATCCATCATTCGAAAACATGTCGTCAACCCATGCCAATCTTGATGCGGCATCCACCGACCGCAAAGCCCGCCTCGCCAAGCTCGCAGCTCTGAAGCGCAAGCAACCCGAGCCAGAGGCGAACGAGCCTCGTGCAGAAGACCAGGAGCTTCCCGATGCCGATGCCACGCCAGATGTGGCCACAAAGTACCTGTCCGGCCGCAACTACGACGCCGAGGCCCGCGGACCTAAACTGGGCTTCGAGCAAGGCCCACAAGAGGGCCAGGTGACGGTGGAAGCACAGGCGGCTGAGATTGCAACGGCCACAGCGGAACAAACCAAGAAGGACGCAAGTGCCGATGAGACCGTTGATCTACTCAAACTACAACCTAAGAAACCCAACTGGGACTTGAAGCGCGATCTGGACGAAAAGCTCAAGACTCTCGATGTACGGACAGACAATGCAATTGCTCGCCTCTTACGACAGCGGGTAGAGGAGGCGCAGCATGCTGCAAAGGCACGTGGGGCTAAGTCTAACGGAGACGGGGGGAGAGGAAGTGGGCATGGAGGGTCAGACGCTCGTCGAGGGCATCCATATGCGTGAACGAGAGGAAGAGAAGAGCGACGAAGAAACGATTTGAACGTGATACCCTTTGCTGCAGGAATGCGAGTGTTGTCTAGGCCATCTGCCTCCACCTGTAATTGTCTATATGCTGTCCATTTACCTTATTCTTTTTTCTGTTGTCTTGCTTGAGGCGTCCAATTGATGTCATGGGCATATTGCGCACAAAAATGAGGCGTTGGGAGGTTTACAACTTAAGATTCTCAATGAACATGTCTATCTTAAGTGTCGTTTAGAATCCATTGTTTGATTTTGATTTTATTTGTATTTTTTTGGTTCTGCTGTCGAGTAGACAGATATTTTCAAACTCCACAATGTGGATGCTAATGATACATTTGGTCATAGGCTTGATGGAACATGAATTGGGACCGTGTCTCCCGTCAAGATTTTGCGCCGTAGAAAACTCCATGTTGCAGAGCACTTTTCATCAATTCAATTTACCGTCCGTTATTCATGGCTTGAGTCAAAGCAAGGCGCTTACTGAAAGGACTCAAGCTTCGTTCCCGTGGAGGCTGGGACTTCTGAGTTATGGGTTCAGGCCTAGACCGTCCAGGTTGAGACTGGCGTGGTGGGCTTGCTCGATCACGGTATGAACGGTCCTGGGGAACATCCTGAGTCGCAGCACGTGATTCTTTCACTCGATCCTTATCCGCACTCTTGCTTCGGCGATCTCTTCGCTCGCTATGTCTTCCTGAACCACGGTGACGGCCTCGCTCTTCAGGGCTAGATTCTCGTCTCCGTCGCCGGGTGTTTCGGTCACCGGTTCGCTCCCTAGAGTGTGAGCGGTTCTTTGGTCCCGAGTGGACTGATCCCGAAGAACCCTCTGTAGAATCACTGTAGCGTCTCTTTCGGGACTTTGCAGGTGGTGCTGATGAATCATCTCGACGACCCCTGTCGGCTGTGCCGTGTTTGTTACGGCGGGGAGACGATGAATAAGATCGATTCGTGGATATCGTTTCCACTGAGAGGGACCTAGCCCGCTTCGGAGACTGAGCGTTGCGGTCTGTCATATCGTCAAGGTCTCTCTTCCGGCCACGCTCTTCCTCCCGGGTAGCAAGTAGTTCATCCGCGACACCCTCTCTTTATTCAAGTTAGTGAATATTCTTTTCAAAAAAGGAAATGTGCAAAAACGAGGGGTATCCATGCGAACTTACTTCCGTAGAAGCTCATTTGGATTCTCGCTTGAAAGCTTGGGCATCAATTCTGGGTTCAGTAGCTGCTGGGTCCTTGAAGGTCGTGGGATGTATGGGCGCTCTTGTGCAGATGCATTGCAATCAAAACTGTAGTGTCGTGAATAAGAGTTAGTCAAACGTCTGGAATGAAAGTGAAAGAGGGTACATATCTCGTCCGAGGCACTTTTGGCACAGTGTGGTCGCAGTGGCCTTGTTGGAGTTGGAGCCTCCGAGCTTCGGGGCGTTTCGATATCGGTTCATTGGAGCTCGTGATATTGTGTGTTCATGTAAAATTCTGGATTGATGGGTACTTTGAGACCAGAATAGGGGTATCAGCACACCCACGATGGGAAACAAAGACAATATCCGATGTAAAGCTGATCGGCGCAAGTTGCAAGTTAGCGGCTGTCAACCTTTGAAGCCCCAAGGGAAAGTGTAGGCGCGCGCCAAGGGCGGTCGGGCGCGGCATAATGCCCACGAATCTTCAGGCAATCAAGAAATCCGAATTCGGATTCTCAACGCTCCTTCTTGATCTCAGGGTTCATTGTCAACGTTCACGTCATCCATCTCGGACGGATGATCTAGAGTTGATCAGCTCTTCAAATAACTACCGGATCTGGAATCCCTTTCAAAACTCAGTACGAGATCTTCATCTCCCTGACTATGAGCCAGCTTTGATATCATGTAAGGCCCCGTTCCCCGATCTGCCTAGATTTCCCACTTCATTGAAGTGGATATTTCTCCTCATCGACCTTGTGGATCTCCTTTTTATACCTTGCATGGTTCTAATACGCATTTTCCACAGTTTTCTCCATGGCGATTGCCCTACCCCAGAGATATGTCTTTCGTTTTGGGCTTGTGTGAAATGAAATTACGCAGCGACATTACTTCCTACCAAACAAGTTTCAGCCTCCTTCACATTTGTGGATCCGAGGCGTGCTGAGTGCAAGCAGCTGCTTGACTTGATCTCGGATTTTCTCTTTTTTTCGTTAAATTTAACAGGTCTCAGTGACCATCCCGCGCGGGGTGTTATCATGGCATCAAAAAGTCCCCCAGGTGGAGACGGCCCTCTCTCCTTTGCAAAAGTAAGCCAGTGGTTTACTCCACTACTTTGTGGCCCATCGCTAATTATGACAAGATTGCTGCTATGCCCGCGCCCCTCAACCCACATTCTTCCTCGGTATCTGATGAAAACGAAATATGCCAGCCAGCAGAACAATCACCTCGATCAGACGCAAATGGCTCTGGTGCAGCTTTACCCAGCCAGCATAATCTCGATAAAACACCAGAGGCTAGTTCCATTGATCTAGCTGTTGATGATCTAGGGAAAGGTGTGCAAGATATTGGCCTCACCTTGAAGAAACACAGTGATGGCTCAGGCTCTTTCATTGGTGGCCAAAACAATCGCTTGCTGAAGCGGGAGAACTCTTTTGAAGATGATCACACTCACCTTTCTACTTCATCCACCAAAATGACCAACTTCGATACCAAGAGTCTTGCCTCGGTGACGACATTCGCAATGGATGAAAAGGACTCTGTACGTCCCGATGACAGTGCTAGTGTGCAAGCCATTGATGAAGAGGACTCGCTTTCTGGACTTGCTTCTGGGGCTCCGAACTCGGTGGCAGGCTCCGAAGCCGGCAGTCGCGCGTTTCGGGATCAGTATCGAGATGGCATTCCTACACGCCCACGCGGGATTTTGCCCGTGCCTCCTCTCTTTAACGGTACCCAGCCGGTAAATGGTGCAATTCCTCCAGATTCGGTCGCGAATAATTTTGTGATTCCAGCCAACTCAGATGGCATTGAAGATGGCCAGATCTTACACGGGTTTCCCTTGGAGCCGGATGAAAAACTCCTAGAGGCAATGAAATCACCAAAAGATCGGCTCCTGATCCTACAACTAGAGGAAAAGATTCGGTACTTCATCAAGGACTGCAATGAGCAATCCTTGGAGTTGCCCCCCTCGAACGCGTTTGGGCGACTTCTCGCACACAAGCTGGGGGATTACTATCACTTGACACATTTTGTCGACAATAATGTGACTTCGGTCAGGCTTCATCGCACACCATTCTGCCGGCTACCTACTCCTTTGTCTGCTGTGCATTCTGCTTGCAATAACACTCCACCTCCGGCTGTTCCGGCAATGAAAATCATGCGCCGAAACGATGGAGGTCAATTCGAAGGAAGTGTTGGAGGTTCGTCAAACCCTTCAAAGGCCAACTCGGAAGATGGATATAGTGGTCCAGATGGAGAACGCCAAGGGTCTTCATCCGGCGCCACGCCTGCTAAAGATCGAATGGCTTTGACGAGGGAGGAACGGGAGGCAAAATACCATGAAGTACGTGAACGAATTTTCCGTGATTTCCCCGACAGTGCCAAATCGGATCCCGCCAGCGGTGACTCGAATCCCAACATGTCACGCTCCAGCTCGGCGAACGGCCGCAAGAAGAACCAGAGGCAGCGAACTCCTCATGATGACAGTTTTGAGGTTCGCTCGCAGTTCAATGCCTACTACCCAGGGATGCAATATGGAAATGGCGCTGCTCAGTACAATGCTCCTGTAAGTGACAGCGCATACCCAAACCAAGTGCCTTACTTGGTCGGACCTGGTGTGCCGCCACCGTCTGGCGGATACATGCCATCTGGTCAGAATGGTGCCATGTACCCTGGGCAACTGAACATGAACATGAATGGTGTCTCCCAGTATCCAGTGGCAATGTCGCCCCAGATGACCTCCAATAGCTCGTGGCAAGGAGGAAACATGCCGCAGCAATCGCCATATTCCGGGTATGCTTCGATGAATCAGCCGGGGATGATGAACCAGCCGTCCTCGAACGCATCTTCGCCGGCAATGAACAACTATGCCGTGCCCAATGTGACGCCGTACCAACAACCCCCCAATTGGAACTCGGCTCCTTTCCCCCAAATTTCCAGCAGTCTCCGCACCAGCGAAATGGGCCGCCTGTTCATTGGCCCAACTATCCTCAACAGCCAATGGCTTCCAACATGCCACCCAACATGGGCTCTAACATGCCGGCTAACATGAATTCAAACATGGGCTCTAACATGGGTCCTAACCTGAGCTCCAATATGCCATCTAATATGGGCGCCTATCCTTATGCTCAATACCCTGGACAACATATGAATCCTGCCGGGTCCCACGCAGCAATGCAAGCAGGATATGCTAGGTCGCACTTCAACCCTCAGACACGCTCATTCATCCCCGGCGGTGCTCCTCCGGGGCGTCATCCGAACAAAGGCCAACACACAATGCAGTCGTATGGTAACATGCAACCTGGTGTCCAGCAACAATGGAACGGGTATGCGGAACCCGCCCTTAACCGGACCATGGACTCAGCCCCGGCTATGATTCCCAACCGAGTGCCCACCGGTCCTCGAGACTCTATCGCAAAATGGGGTACGCCAGCACATCTTCCTCCTAAACCCCCGCCATCCGAAGTCCCCTCCGACTTTGATCTGAAAAACCGACCCGTTACGGCCTCGGCCCCCGCACCAACGTACAGCAGCAATGGGAATTCTGCTGTTAGCAATGGACCACTTGTGGTCTCGGGGGGCACAACTGTCTCCAAGCCGAACTAAAGCTTTATAGCTTTGGTCGCATTTCTACTATATGTGTTGTATCTGGTTGTGATGTAACCCTTGGACCTTTGGAAGTGGGAAAATATGAACCCCCTGTCCCATAGTATATGGGATAGAGTCATCTTTTTACCGGCACCTATGTTCCAAGGCTTCCATCTGCTGCTGCAGTACAATGCATGGCGATCCGGGTTCTTGTGCGTGTACCGCATCGCTCTTAGCTAGTCATGAACCTGTTCATGTTATGTCTTTTCTTGGCTACTCGTATGTCTAGACTAAAACCCGAATACTTCAAATGAACATCTTTGTGAAAGATTCTACATGCTGTTTAGTGTACTACTTTGTATATTATCCAACAACCACTGGGCATCAGATACGACATATGTCTACCCTGCTTCGCTGGTACAAAGCTAGATTGATCTTTGGTTACAATAGACATACGAGTTTACAGTAATAGAGAAATCCAAGAACCACCCAATGACGCAGGTACTACAAGTCATTCTCTACGCGCCTAGGCTTACAGTAATAGACAAAACCAAACGCAACGTCTTTATCATGACCGCAAGCACTCTATCCAAGTCCTAGTGGGTATTAAAATAACTGCCTCTCGATGATTCGAGGCCCATTTAGTCAAAACATCAAGTCTCCAATGCCAAGTTCAAACAACCCAACCTCGTCAAGGTATCCCAAGAAAGCACATCAACTCAACGCTTCGTAACAACTGTCAAGGGCACAATAATAACAATCAAAAGAACCACAATACTAACACCACCGCAGATGTACCATTTCCGATAAGATCTCCGCTTGCGCTGCACAGGAGTGCTAAGCTTGGGATCATCGTTCCCACTCTCATCTGCTTCTGCTTGGTCGTGATTGACAAATTCCTTATTCAAATCATCGACCTGCAATGTGCAGTCGCCATTCTCACGCTCGGTTGGGGTTGCTCGTGCCGCTGTGAATTGTTTGTAGGTGTCGGCTGTCGATGGTGGGAATTGAGATGTATTTTCTTTAGTTGTCATGTTGGCGGTGCCCTATTTTCAGGATGGGGAATTCTTTTGTATTTTTCCCTAGCAGGTTCAATCGTTAGTCGAAGATTCTATATTGCCTGGTGGAGTGGTGGGTTGGTATTGCATACTTTGGACCGTTTGAGGAGTTTGAGTTAGTTGGAAGTATCTTGGTATGAATGTATGAGTGTATCTTGATATGAATGTATGAGTTCTTATGCTTTTCAATAGAGGCTATGGCGTCTTTTAAGTTTAAGCTGCTCGTATGTAGATCTTTGGCCCCCGGGTCAGGCTGATATCAAGGCTTGGCGGAAGTCGTTATATCTATCAGCCTGCGATATGGCCCCCTATGTTGTAAGTCAATGCAGCATTCAAAATTGGTTATCTGGATGCCTGAAATAGGCTTCTCTGATTCCTATGTCTCTCATTTCATTTTTCACGTTTCTTCCCTTAGTAAATGAAACATAGGGTTCAGTCTTCATATTATCTCCGCTTAGGATTCCCTAGGAATCTGCACTGAAGCATGCGCCTCCTCATTCAAGACATTCGTGATCATCAACTTTACAGATGCTGGTCCCTACGGTGGACGAAACCATTGGAGCTTTGGGGCTGTCCACTATTTTTCGGATGGTCATACGCGCTGGGAAGGCTGGAAACGCTGCATATGGTGCATGGAATTTCTGCCGAGTCCAGACGGAGTATATCTGAGAAATAAATCTCTGTACTTAGAAAGTTTGTCCAAGGATGCGTCAATGATATAAAAATAGTGCAGCAAAGGTCTTGAAAGGCTTTGGTATACTGATAATAGTAGGGTTTGCTGGTAGCACGTGACTTATAGAATATAGCCTTCTAATTGGTCGGTATGGAGAGAATCAAAGAGCATAAAGTGATGAAACTAATTTCGATACGTTCTGTAAAGCTGCTGAGTGTATCCAATATTCAATAAATATTCAATCGTCAACATAATCAACAACCTTGGCCGGTTTGGACTCACAACTTGTGTCGGCCGAAGCATAACTCCTCCAATGTTAGGAGCCTTGCTTGGGTGATAGGCTGCTTGAAATGCCCGGGCTATATTTAGAGAAGATGGTAATAGGCTAATGGAACTAGGTTTTTTTGTCTAGGTCACAAGTTTAAGTGTTAAGCGGGCTCTTGCTTTAGTGGGTTGGTCGTCGAGACTCGAAGGTACCTCGATACACGCGACTCTTAGTCAGTACTCTCGTGGTTTGGGGACGCCCTCTTCGTAATCATAATCACATTTAACAAGAGAAACTTATTCGACCTGAGCCTTGTTAGATTACTCCCCAGCAGAGTCACATTGGACTCCTTGAGAACGTTCCATAACTTGCTTGTCGCTTGTTGCCATCGTGATTTCCCTGGACAATCTGATTCTTTGATCATTGTCTGGATTTGCTGTAGGACTTCCTCGCACTGCCTCAAAACATGCTGCGCGGTGCGATAGGCCTCTGCCGCTCGTCATGTTTAAGATTTTCATCAAGTTCCCCCAATGTGGCGCACGTAAAAGCAACATGGCCCGATAGGCTTTGGATGCTTTGGTTGACGTTCTGGATCTAGCGATGACACTCAAATAGCTTGACTGATAGTTTGGTGTCGCGATTTGAAACATAATAGCTGGAACTCCAACTTCCTCGAACACAGACATAGCTGTCGGTGGTTTGCTTTAAAACCTGATCTGTGGAGGGAAATATTATATTTGAAGGCGAGGCTGTGCGAGGTAATCAAGGAACTAACTAACAGTAGCTGGATGATAGCGCAAAGACTGATCATGTCGCATCGCACACTCTTCCCTCCTTCCATTCAAACTAATGTAGTTGAAGAGAGACTGTATAAAAGTGGTCCGTGCCCTCGGTTATATTCTCTAGTGCATAGGACAGAGAGGCCGAGAAAGCATCTAGGGGTTGGGCAGTAGTCTTGGTAGAATTGGTAGAAAGGGAGACGGATTTGAAGCTACAAATACAGGGGACAAGCATACTTAATATGGCTTTGACCTCTCAATTTCCATATGTCCCTGATCAAACTATAAACTATCAGACGAAGAAACAGCATTTGTACCCTCAATCTATACATCCAAGTCCCCTCAGAAATCACCTTCAACTGTCTCATGAAACATACGGATTCGTAGGTGGCTTATACTGCGGCCTAGACTGACGAGTTCCAAATATCACAGAGGGCACAATGATAACAACAAGAAGAACAACAGCCCCAAGAGCCGAACCAACGATAATCCACTCCCGCCGACGAGATTTATGCCGCATGACCGTCCCCGTCACAGACTGTGACTCTGGATCTTGTGTCCTGTCTACTTCAGACTGTTGTCCAATCGCCTCTGCCTGGTTTCCATCTGCAGGTTCAATTCCAGCCTCAGCTTGCTTGTCTGTTTGTTTGTTGTTGGCATATTGATTGAGTTCCAGGTTGCAGTCTCGGTCACTGAACTCCAGTGTACAGTCACGGTCACTGACTTGTAGACTGCAATCGTCCTTCATGCTGTGTTCAAAGTTTGGACGGGGTGGGTATGACGCTGAGACTTCTTTGTATGTGTCGGCACGTGGAGGGCTTGGGGCATTTTGCCGGAGCGGGTTGTGTGTTTCGAGGGACATTTTCTCCATTTTGAGTGTTGTAGTTGTTCTGACTATGCTTCTTCTGTTCTGGTGAGAGGTTAACAAATGTTGAACCCTGGAGACTGTAGTTGGGCATATGATATCGGGTGTTGCATACTGCATATAAGAAGGTTGCGGTGTAGTAAAAATAAGTATCTAATGCTAGACAGGAGATAATTAAGCACCCTATCTTGCTTGACCGGGTCCTGCTGAGCACTGAGATATTATAAAGAGGGAAACTGAGGTTTTGAGTATCTCCCGGGACTTAGCTAGATGAATAAATGACCCCTTGGGCAAACCGGCTTGACCTATAATGGCATGCGCTTGGATCATATGCTAGAAATTTCAACTATTGATAATTATGCATTGAATCTTATTGTCCCTTGATTGCAATTACCGTGTGCGGGCGGCACTAGTATGTTACGTCGAGGCTGCAGCTGATATATCAGATCTCGTCAACCACCCCCAGGAAATGGTCGTTCAGTGACTGCACAGAACATTGATCGCTTTCTGGAAAAAATATATAGTAGATGGCTTTATAATATGACAATTTGAAGTCCAATTGCTGGATATAATTCTAATTTTTGGCAGAGGAGGTTGCGGAGTCGTGGATATATAGTTCTTCGATTTCCCACTTGCATTGGTAGCATAACAACCAAAACAGGTAAAATCTCTCTCATATCGACATCGATGCAATGAAGGCGGTTATTGTTTGCGGTGAGCCTTTTATTTGATCTACATTGCAGCTCATGGCGTTTTTGTGAAGGTTGTTTAGACTCATATATTGAGGCCTGGATCGTCAGGCATCTAAATCCAAGATATCGGGTCTAAATGTTTGTCTACTATGGATAATACATATTCGACGACATACTTGACCATGATATCTTGTCTACCACGTAGTGATTTATCTTTAAATTTATACATACACCCGAGATAAAACGGGCTACTGTGGCGTCCCTCCCTCAGCATGACTCGACACATACATTTATCAAGAGCTAACAGGCCAAGGAAGAAGTGCGAATAAAGAGGTATCAAAATCTTTTATACAGAGGCTATGTCACATGCGCGAGTGCAAACGAAGACGGAGATGCCATAATAAACAGGAAGAAGACAGAACTCCTGGTAAGAAAAACAAGTAAAGAACAACGGAGTCAACCCGGGAGACCAAGCGGGATGGTGCCAACATCAAGCAACCCCATCAAAGCCTAGGAGAAAACATCTCCTAAACAGGTCGCAGAGATCACCCAAAGCCGAGGATTCCGGCACAGAACCCCACATCTAATCCCTCGACTCAACATCAGCCTCCTTCTTAGCGAGCTTATCATTCTGCTTCTTGACAAGACTGAGCTTGGAAATTGCCTGCTCCAAAACATCAACACCGTCCTTCCGGAACTGAGTGACCTTCTTCACATTCAACCTTGTGAGCGCATGCACGAGATCCCGACCCTGCTCGCGCTCGCGCGCCACTGTACGCGCCGTCATGGCGAAACGCATGTCCTTTGGCCCATCGACCAGCTCGAGGATGGCGGTGGGAGCCTTGACCTGGGGTTTAGGCTCTCGGATGGCGTTTTTGTCGCCCTTCTTGGGGGAGAAGTACTCGTTCTTTTCGCGGGGTTCTACGCGTAAGACTCGTGTGTAACCGCCTGGTCGGTCTGCGTAGCGCTCGCGGAGGGGACCGAAGAGTTTGGGGAGCATTTCATGTGGTGTCTAGGGTATGTTAGTGGTGTCATTAGGTTGTTGATTTTTTTTTCCTTTCTGGGGAGTTATGGGCTGGGAAGTGCAGTAATCCATCACGGATATGATAAACCAATAGTTTCTCGTGACTAAACTGATTCCGTCCTGATTGGAATTGAGGTGGGCTTGTTCTCCGGGAGTTCAACATACGTAGAAAATCTCCAATGCCCGTCGCCGACTCGCTTCGGTGTTCTTCTTTCCCAGGGTAATCAACTTCTCGGCCAGACGCTGGGCCTCTTTGGCCTTGGGCCATGTCGTAGTAATTGACTCATGCTCGAAGAGGGAGGTGACCAGGTTTCGGAGCAGGGCCTGTCGATGCGCGGAGTCGCGGCTCAAGTGGCGGTATCTGCTTCCGCCGCCGGCCATGGTGATTGTTATTAAGCGAGGGTAAAAGAGGGAGAAAGAGGGTGGGTTATTAAAAGTAAAGTGGGAATCGCGAGGTCAATGGCCAAACCAAGGTGTTCCAGCAATTGAAGATGAAAGAGAGAGGATGTTCGGCCCAGAAGAATTGGCCCGGCCAATCGGAGCGCTTCCACCGCCTGTCCGACTTCAGTTTTCCGCCTTCACTCTGCTTGTTCGAAGACATTCAGCTTTTGGGATACATTTCAACTGAGCTTTTTGCTTGTCGAGAAAAGAGACTCTCTGTAATCACGAAATACTTGTGCAATCTTTCGTCTTTTCCATCCATCCCCATGAACAAATAATCAATTCGGCGACTCCAAACACCACAACAAATATGGGCTTCTTCACCGGATTTGTACGATTTACCCTCAAATCTATACCAGAAAACAAGCACTAACTTCAATTCTCACTTGAATAGTTCGGCGGTTTTGTCTTCACCTCATCCGTTCTCTATATTACCGTCCAAGTCCACCGCTCAACACGCATATCACAACGCAAAGCCATCCACGCGCAAGTCGAGCAAATAGATTGGTTGACCTCCTCTGCCGGTGCCTATGACCGACGCTTCCTACCAGAAGACCTTACAAGGCAGCGGCGCGAAGAATTGGAAGCACAGAATCAACCCGAGCCGACGATGAAAGAAATACTCAAGCACGAGTGGAATAAGGAAGTGGAGGTCTTGACAAGAAAGGCCTATGAGACGAGATGGGAGGACGTGAGAGATGCTGCTGTGGAAGGCTGGAAGGCTGCCGCGCGTATGGTGAAACGGGAATAAAGGATCATTCTGGGACTATAGCAAAGGCTTTGGCTCGGATGCATTATCATGACTGTTGTTTAGGTTTGATTTTGAGCACCGGAGTTTGGATACCCTTGATTTATGTCATAATTTACATGCATTAGTATTATTATTTCCCCCGAGGGATATTGTAAATACGACCAGCGCATTCCCATATGGGGTAGAGATATCAATGCGGTGCAAGTCTCGGTGATGACCTGATCAACCCTGGGACGTCCGCACTGGCCTGCTGGAAAATTAACAAGATGGAAGAAGTGCAGCAAAAGCGGGGCTGCAGCTGAGTCCACTGAAAGACTCAGGAGTTCAACTCGTATGGGTTGATGACGGCGCACTTGTCGTGACACTCTCCGAATCACTCCAAATATCCTTGCTTTCCCGCTCGACTGTGCGCATAGCCCGAGCTACCTCCTCCAGTTTAGCAACGACATCCAAAACGCCATGATTGACCCGATCAAAGTACCGGTCATTAGCCTCGCGGCGCTTTCGCGCAAGATGGATGTCTTTCTCAGTCTCGTCGTCCAACGTGCGGTGTGATACCGAACCGCGGCCTGCGCTAGTTTCCGTCGCTGCATCATGCTGGGGTTTCGACTCCTCAGCACCTCGCCGCGCCGAGCTAGCTTTCCCACTGGCTACATCGGCACCGCTGTGGCCGGGATCCACAACTTCATCGTCTGCCTCACTGCGCGCCCAGGCTTGAGCGAGCTTCAACTGTTTCATTCGTAGATCTTCCAATGCTTCAGAGTGCTTTGCGCCGAAGACATTCTCGCTCGTCACAGCGCTGAGTTCCACTTCTGACAGAGCACTTTGCATCTCCTGCCATATGGCATCGGATCCGTCTACGTCATTTTTGGAAGGGCGCCGTGATACAAATGGTGGCAACAAGCTTGACTTCTCAGCATTCTCGCCCTCGGCTACCCGAGGTGACCGGTTCCGATGCAGGGGTGGAGGTTGGCTGCCGGAGGCAGTTGGTAACGTTGAGGCTGCAGGTGGTACGGGTAGGGAAATATTAGAGGCATTGTGTGATGGTGGACCCTGAAAAAGGACTGGGGGAGGTAGGCGCTGGGGATTTGGATTCGTGGGTTTTCTTGACAGATCCATCTTCAACAAATTGTTCGAGAAAACAACAGACATGGATGGAGCATTCGAATGGGGTTGATGATAAAGCTGATAACCTTATCGTCCACTTATCGGGTCGATGACATAATCCGAGGTGGGGGCTACGACTGTCCCGTGACTCGCTTAGGGCTAAGCGCACAAAGTCACCTGAGGTGCGTCCAAAGCGTGTGGTAAGGGAAATCCGGAACACTTCGACTTTTCGACATTCGACCCTCAGCCCCTTTGGCCGACAACACCCCTCCCAGTCGGTACGTATTCGATATCCTGCTGTTTCCCCTGCATTGTTTGTGGTTTTCCGGAAATATTTTATTCGTGGCACTGCGAGATCCTTCGTCAACGATCGCATCCATCACGCACAAAAAATCGGCCCTCTCCAAACATCGAACTCGCATCGAAAATACGCACAATCGGCAAAACCACCGTTGTACTCGACACGAGGCTAACAATTTTTTTCTCGTTCAGTTGACCGTCGAACACATAATCCGCCAACATGGGTAAAGGACAACCCCGTGGTTTGAACGCCGCCCGCAAGCTCCAGGCGCACCGCAAGGATCAGCGCTGGGCTGATGACCACTTCAAGAAGCGTCTTCTCGGTACCGCCTACAAGTCCTCCCCCTTCGGTGGTGCTTCCCACGCCAAGGGTATCGTTCTCGAGAAGGTCGGTGTTGAGGCCAAGCAGCCCAACTCCGCTATCCGCAAGTGTGTCAAGGTCCAGCTCATCAAGAACGGCAAGAAGGTCGCTGCTTTCGGTGGGTAACCCCGTTCCTTACTGCTATTGCTATGAATGTGTTGGAAAGGTCTATACGAGTTGGAATCACAACGAAAATGGAAACCGCCAACACAACTACCACAAACATGTGCTAACTAGCATGTTCTTACAGTCCCCAATGACGGTTGCTTGAACTTCATCGACGAGAACGACGAGGTCCTGCTCGCCGGTTTCGGTCGCAAGGGTAAGGCCAAGGGTGATATTCCCGGTGTCCGTTTCAAGGTCGTCAAGGTCTCCGGTGTCGGTCTCGCCGCTCTCTGGAAGGAGAAGAAGGAGAAACCCCGCTCTTAAACAACTCGACGCGTTCTGTTCGAAATCAAAAATGCAGCGACCGGGAGCCTTGGAGTGTGGGAACGGTGCCGGACGGAAAGCCCGCCTCATCAGCGCCTTGATTTCATGAGATATTTTCTTTTTGGGGAGTCCCCCGGCGGGCTTTCGTCCGGAATGTGGTGGATCCGCTTATTTGCGAATTAAACACGATTGATACAACCTCCAAAAAGATTATGGCGCCATGACTTTCTTATCTCTTTCCCGGGTTTCTGACCTTGCCGTATACTGCCACTTGGTTCCTTGATCCTTGCTAGAGTTGTCTGATACGGACGCAAAGTAAAGCGTAGGGTTAGATATTGGTGTGGACACGGCTTTCATGGACATAATATGATCTAGATATTCAAGCTGTCTGGTTAAACGATTCGGTCTCCTATGTTGATGTGGAGTTTTCCATGTTTGGAGTTTATATCTGTACAAACATATCTATTCCATGCTCTAGGCCTTCATTGAAGTCTGTTTCCCGTTACCGAACGTCATCCAGCCGTGAAGATATGCTGTTGTCTAGTAATTGCAATGGCTACTATATATATGTATACTGATTCTGCATAGTACCCATGGATATATATCTAAGATTTCCTTGGTACTATCCTTGAATAAACAACAATACCCCATCCCTGCACGAATCAGCGTTTATATTGATAGATGGTACCGACAGGTCGATGTATGAAGGTCTATTTATTGTCTCCTTGGTTTCGGAACAATGAGGATTGAAGAGCTTGTAAGACCGAGAAAAAAGTGTAAGAAGAAATATATCAAAAGAATTTCATTAATTATTGATTTCAGATTGATTTTATATCAGTGATTTTATACATCCATTCCATGTATATATATTGACGTTGCCTTTAGGGCACATAAGGATTCTACAGACATTCTCAGTAAACAGTAAAGGCATATTAGATCTCTTATACTGCTACTAGTGCTTATATAGGTCTATACTCTAGAAGCTTAATCACAGGATGTGCGGGAGAGGCTAATGCAGCAGCTATTCCTAAACATTGGCGGAAATGATAAATAGTTCTTTTTTATTCATTACTTCTGCATATCGATCATCAAAGTAATTCCTCGGGTATCGTTCGGGAAAATGTCCCTGAAATAATTTTTTTGTTGATTTTTTGTGAGCTGTTTGACACAATTGTTCAAGCCAATTACAAGGCTTAGAAGCTGATATCTTCCTTGCGGTAGTGGTCTGACACAATGCGGTAAAGGTATGACGGGGCATGACCGCCGCTGAATTAGGGAAAGCAAGTTAGCATGATACAATAAGATCAGTGGGATGGGTACTTGAAACTTACAGGTTAGTGATGTAAAGATCGACGAGCTCTGCAGGAACGTAGTCATAGATGGGGTTTTGGACATCGACCAGGTCGACGAGATCACCCTCCTCGTATGGGAGGACCATGCTTGGGTCACCGTATTCAATAAGCGAGTCGAAGTCGAATGGATAGACAGGGCTGAGCTTGTAAACACCGCTCACAACGACGACGGGGGTCTGGTGGACCTTGGCGGCACGGGCGATGACACGGGTGCCAGCAGCGGCGACGAGGCCGCCATTGGCGAGAACGGAGTGTGTGCCGAGGATGACCTTGTTGACCCGAGACATGAGAGCGAAGACGGCAGAGTCTGGGATGAGGATGACGGTGATGCCGTGCTCGATCAGTGGCTTCTGGAAAGCCTCCAAGCCGAGATTGTCATCGTCGCTGACAGCACTACCACTGACAGTGGCATGTGTAGCCTCGTGGTTATTTGGGTATGACTCGGCATGGATGACGGTAAACTTTCGCTTCGCGGCGGCTTTGAGCAGGAATTTTTGGACCGTGGTCGAGGATGTGTGGGTGAGGATGATTTCGTTGGAGTGAATGTGGTCCAATGCGTAGGCGGCGATCTGATCGTCCACCTGGCCAAGCTCATCAATGATCTCGCCAATACCCTCCAGCACTTCGGCTCGTACGTCTTTGCTTGGGCCGTGGCCAGCGAGACGTCCGCTTGGAGAGGAGGAACCTGGGGTGCTGGGAAGGGAGTTCTCGGGTTCGGGATGGGAGAGAAGGCTGAACATAGAGGTCAGAGCGGGGCGAGAGGATCTTTCTTCGGACCGGAAGGAGGGCGAGTCGCGATCCAAAGGCAAGGATGGATCTATGAATATATGAGTCACTGCGTAGGTATTTGGACCAGAACTTGGGACTCACCGTCATAAGCCCGGGGTGTTTGTGGCTGACTCTCTGAACCAATGTCGCTAAGAGCGAATTCAGCGTCGCGATCATCTTCGGCTTCGTCACGAATGAGACCTAGGACTCGGCGCACAATATTGCCCACAACCATCTCACGCGGTTGCGCAGCCATCAGTCGCCTGCCCACACTCTGCACCCGCTCAATAAGCTTTGCTGAGTCTGTTGTACGGCATGCTGAAATAACACTCCGTAGCAAATAGGCGGTTGCTGTGGCACATGATCGCGAATGACGGATTTGACGGCGCTTGAGCAATCTGATTGAAATATACTATGTTAGCGAGTTGGATCGTCGGTGGGGGTAGCGGCCATGAGTAGAAGCCTTGAGATACGTACGAAATCAGAGTCTCAATAGAGGTATCAATCGGGTTTGTCTTGAGGCACTTGAGGAATGACCCCAGGCCTGGTGTCAGAGCCAAAGAAGGCGGCATGAGGAAGTGGGATGTTGGGAGGAAATCTGCGTGATGTTCAGCGGGGGTTTGAGCGATAGAGGTGGTGTAAGTGTCAAGTGATAAACATACCAAATTTCAGGTTGAAATCACACTGAACAGGTTTGTAAATAGAGAGTTGACCACGAGTATGCTCTGATTCTCACAAGAAAGCTGAAGAGAGTGGGAGAGACAAAGAATTGATTTTCTGCCGTTCGATCTTGTCCGCTTCCCCACACTCATTGATCCTCATATTGTCTCGGCGTGGGCTTTTCCTATTGGTGTTCTTTCAGTTTGACGCATTTCTATTATTCCATTTCTAGTTCATTTCTTTTTTTTTTGTTGGATTGTTTTTCACCAGCTTGAAACTTGTATAGATCAGATTGGAGTTGCGGAAGTACTTCCGAGGCACGGGTGACTGGCGCATTGAGGTTAGAACAGCTTACACCTCCTTGCGATCTCCCCCCCTCTTTCCCTCTGTCTACCCATCAAACCCCCTGCACACTTATCTCATGGACCGCTTTAAGTGGGTTTGATGATTGACTCATTCCTTTGTTAATAGATCGCTGCGCCCCTGTCTCCCGTGACGCCTTGAGGAGAAGATGAACTCGTTGAATATCCTGTCCTCGCGAGTCATTGGCCAATCTTCCAACTCTTCACGCCATAGATCGCAGTCTCAAGGCGATAGCAAACGTGCACCTCTACCGTCAGACTTTTCGAAACTCCGGTCTTATAGCGAGGATAACTTTCGGTCCCTTGACCCCACCGAGAAGAGCTACGACGATGGACCGCCCGTGAACCAAGATGGAGAAGATGGCACATATGACTTAGATGAGAAGACACCGTTACTGCATGAAGCTCACAAGAATGGCACGCTCACTGCTCAAAGTACTTGGCGACTAATTACCCAACGGTTTTTCGATGCGATCACAGAAACCATCAAATTCATCCTGTCTACGTTTGCTGCACCCGGTGTATATTTGGCTCAATGCTTTCAGGCCGATGATGGTCGCTATTCGCTTCTTGCACCTGTGCGCAAATTGCGGCGCTCCTCTGCCGACTCAACGATCCGGTCGGCTAAAGGGGTCACCCGGGTAGAAGGTCGGCGTCGCAGTGGCTCCACCCGGAAGCTCCGACCTCAAGGCTCTCACGAATCTATTGTATCAACAACGTCGGAGTCCGACACAGATCGACGGCATATCAAAAATCTCTCAAGCGGGAGGAACCGACCTACCAAGACCAAAGGCCACGATCCAGATCCAATCTTAGAAAGGGAAAAGGATGAGAACACGCCTCGTCGGTCTATACGAATCAAGCTCCATAATGAAGAATCTCTCAAGCGGCACAGACATCGAAGATCCCAGAGTTCAGATTTAGGACATCCAATGCCTGAGGGTGTCTCTCGAGTCCAGGGGGCTGTCCACCTGGATAGCTTAAAATCCCCAACCTCTCCCAACATCCACCGCATAACGAAGTACCCACACTCTCCAACTCCACCGCGCCCACTCCTCCCGTCACGAGTACCTTCATATACTGCACCTCCCCGCAATGCCCGACCCCCACAAAAGACCCTGGTGCTGGATCTCGATGAGACCCTAATTCACTCGCTCGCCAAGGGTGGCCGGATGTCTAGTGGTCACATGGTCGAGGTTAAGCTCTCGATACCCACGACTACTTCATTGTCTCCGGGCGGACCGCAAACGACACTGGGCCCTCAGCATCCCATTCTGTACTATGTCCATAAACGACCACACTGCGATGAGTTCCTGCGCAAGGTCAGCAAATGGTATAAGCTCGTCATTTTCACGGCCAGCGTTCAAGAGTATGCCGACCCTGTCATCGACTGGCTCGAGCAGGAACGGAAATATTTTCAAGGCCGCTTATACCGACAACATTGCACATTCCGTAATGGGGCATACATCAAGGACCTGAGTTCTGTGGAACCGGATCTGAGCAAGGTGATGATTCTGGACAACAGCCCAATGAGCTATATTTTCCACGAAGGTAATTTTACAATTCCGTTTTATCGATTTTAGTGTGCTCGAACTCATGATGATTGCTAGATAATGCGATTCCCATCGAAGGCTGGATCAACGACCCCACGGACAACGGTCTGCTCCACTTGATTCCCATGCTCGAAGCTCTACAGTATGTCACGGATGTCCGGGCTTTGTTAGCACTTCGCCGTGGTGAACTCGAGTCATGAGCGTTATCCGCATTTGTGTTTATGGATGCGCATGTAGGTGTATACGGGGTTTGTGTTTTAGAAGCGATGTCCAACCTTTCAACATAAAACTAGAAAAAAAAAAGATATCCGGAGCAACGGAGAGGATTGGAGACCAACACGATCATGCAAGCGCAGTTATTCATAATGGCATTCGGTGTCTCGTTTTGTTACTAGGGAATGGAAATCCGTACATATGACTTGACTTCTCTTACAACACATAAGAAGATAGTGATCTAAAACTCCACGGAAAGCGCTATAACCTGCCGTTAACATGAAGCTTGGTCGCTCCTCCAGCAGTGATATAAAGCGATCCTTCTGTGTCCGTCCTCCCAAAAGCGTAGCAGTCCTCAAATCCCTCGAGTCCTTCAAACCTGTAATAACCCCATGAGACCCAATAGGAAAGACTAGTAACCACATTATCAACAAGACCTGCCAAATACCCAACTCCATAGCAAAGTCAAAACCCGCTCCGGGCTGTTGGGGTAGTACATAGAATAATTTACTGTCTTCAACCCGTCAACAAACCCATGTCACGATCTGCGGCCATTGCCTCGTCTTGGTGGATCACGCTGTACTCGCCGGCGCGGATATCGAGACGTCATATAAGACCAAGCCGGGAGTCGGATATGGCGACTGCTTTTCCTTCATTTAGAGTAGCTATGCGGTCCAAATAGCCAGCGGGCAGTTTCGTGACCAGAACTGACTTGGGCGCATTTTCATCGGTTCTGAGATCAATCAATGGACTGAATTGAATGCAATTCACTCCGTAGATATCCGGCGAAAGCGCCGTAATTCCAACTGCGTCTTCGGCGCCGTCGAAGTCGTGGACTAGATGGGCTGAGCTGGGGATTAAAGGGCTGTGCTCAGATCCGTGACGAGGAGGGTCCGTTAGGTCGAACTGCGATGTTCTTGATATAGGTCCCATTGGGGAATCTGTATATTTCGCGGAGATTGGGAGAGTGAGCGAGACATGGAGTGTAGATGAATTGTAAGTAGTAATAACAGGGAGCCTAGAAGATCAGCCATCTGTGAGAGGTTTGGCACAACGCTCTGAAACACCAAAATGCGTGGGAATCATTGGTCTATAGGGGATGGCAGCCATGGCAGGTCTCTCTTTCCAAATTAACACCGAAGCGGAACCAATTGGTTTTCTTGGAAACCGATCGTTATGTCCGTACCTGTGTTGTAGTTATGTATCCGTACAAGGCGATGATCGGTAATACATTCTTGGCTGCATTGTGCCCAGGTGGTCATGTACGAGGTGCTTGGTAATATACGCTCTTGGCTCCAAGGCTGCTCAGCCCTGGAGGTGAATTGTTATTGCGGTGAGATAGGGCCCCAGTTTCCCCACACGTATTTCCAGCCACTATTCTCTATAGTCTGCATAGTCTGCACAGCCTGCATCAAAATAGCACCTGGGCAGGTTTAGGCATCAAGTCAGTGTTGATACCTGAAATCGAAAGGAAGAGGGCAATAGTATTCGGCGGCATCTAGGAGTGAGTGAGATGTCTGGAGGAAAGATTATTTGGAGGAGAGTGGGGGCGTGGGGTGGGAACTGTTTTTTATTCTATTTCTAGGTAGTAGGTAGTATCGAGCATTATGACCATGTGCTTGGGGTCTTTTGAACTAGATTTTTTATGTCTAGGTAGCTCATTAATTTCTACCTTGATATTTCTAGATCACACCACGAGTGCCCCTACTGCAGGAGGCGTTGAGGGGCGGCGACTTAAGGTCTTAGCGTGGGAGGCGGGTTTATCTCTCGACTTCTGGTGAGGCTTCTGCTTTTGAAGTTGATAAATCCTTCTCTCTAGGATTGATATCTTTATTCATAGACAGGGATAACAGGGATACCATGTTCTCCTTGCTGACAGTTCGGACTTAAGGTCCACGGGTCTCAATCTCCAGGTCCCAAGGTTATGCTTTGTCCGGGTGCTTACCGAGTGTGGATCCCAAAGTGTAAATTTGATTGGTGAACCAGTCAGAATTGCCAATAGCCAAAGGTTAAAAGTCCAGATGGACCCACCACAACGGAGGTCTAGGTCGAAGTAACCTTCTTGGCCATGACGTATAGTAAGCAGCCTGCATGAATGCCCAGATGCTAAAAAGTGATAGTAGATACATTCAACATGAATGTTTAGAATCAGAGTCCTTGGCGCCTTCAGTTGGGCTCCTTGGCGCTAAAGGCGCCGATATTCTCGGCTTTAACCTTGCCAACGGAAGAGCCGGGAACGAGTCATTCGTCGTTTGGTCTCTTATCATGCTGGGGGCACATGGCTTTGTGTGTACCCGGATTATAATTCCAATGACCAATCCCGCAAGCTGCTTATCCAGAGTGTGCGTCAAGCCATGGACCGCTCAGGATTCGGGGTTTCCTCTCCTGCCCTGGCCGACGCGGCGCCGTTTCTGTAAGGTTACATCTTACTATCTACAACTAGCCACTCCCATGGTATATTTCGTTATATCTTGGATACGCCGATAGAAAATTGTTCGAACCCTGGTCTTCATTTTCTCTAGTTGATCCTTCGCTATTGTGTATAATCGATACTTGAGTATACAATGACGATGTCAACTCGCAGGCCGTCCGCACACCACCGTCGTGCCAGAGACGAAAGATTGCGATTGACTGAGAATGGCACGTTCCAAATATCAGTCTTTAGCGACTTGCATTTTGCTGAAGGTACAATGACAACCTCGAATATGTATTTCGGGATGCTAACTATATTCAAAGATGACGAGGCGGACAACAAGACCATAGGTGTGATGAACAGCGTTCTTTCTTCCGAGGAAGTGCAACTCGTGGTACTCAATGGAGATTTAATCTCTGGCGAGGCAACAACACAACGCTCCAACTCTAGTCACTACGTTGATCGGATTGTTGCACCACTAGTCGACCGTAGTTTACCATGGGCATCGACATATGGGAATCACGACAGCGAGGTCAATCTGGACCCGGAAGAGATATTTTATGAAGAGACAAAATATGAAAACAGCTTAACCCAGCGAAGGGTTTCGGGTTCCACTGCCGGCATCACGAACTATTACCTGCCAATATTTCCGCACGAGGCTTCGAATGACAGTGCCCCGGTATTTATATTGTGGTTCTTTGACAGTCAAGGTGGTCATTATGCCTTGGCAGAGAATGAAGATCGCAAGTCAGTTGCAAGACAGAATTGGGTAGATGACAAGGTAAGCACCACGGCGTCGATGCAGTCCCGAGATGGACTCACACACGCATCTTCTCATCCTCGATGTAGGGATTTGATGTCGAACTTTCACATACTGACTTATTACTTGTTACAGGTTGTTAAATGGTTTGTAGAAGCCAATGCAAACTTAACGTCGACCTACGGACAAACGATCCCATCTCTAGCCTTCATCCATATCCCAGTTCATCCAATGCGCGCATTCCAGCAATCCGGCGTTAGCCCATCCCGCGAACCAGGAATCAACGGAGAACGAGTCCAGGAACAAGGCTATGGCAGCGACACCGGCTACATATCTCAAGACTTTCCATTTATAAACGCTATGCTGAACACCACGGGGCTGGTGGCGACTTTCAGCGGCCATGATCACGATAATGATTGGTATGCACTACACAGCAACAGCACGCTAGATGTTCTAGGTTCTATGCTTAGTTCCAAGGCAAAGCGCAAGAAGATGTCATTTGACTAATCTTACGTCTTTTAATAGGTGCTTCAAATGGGATGGTAAACTTCCTGGCCTCAATATCACGGGAAATGGGATGAACATGTGTTACGGCCGACATACGGGATATGGAGGGTATGGCGAATGGGCGCGTGGTGGAAGACAGATTTTGTTGGATCAGCGGTCGCTTGGGGACGATGTGCGGACTTGGATTCGGATGGAAGATGGGGCAATTTCTGGTGATGTTCATCTCAATGCGACGTACGGCCAGGATCAATATGGGTTTGTGCAGAGGAGCGTTAGTACGCAAAATGGTGGTATTTCTCTTTCTCCTCCATATTTTAGTGTTATTTATTTGTGGATATGTGTCTTTTCGGGACTTATATCTGGGTTTCATTTGAGGTAAATGATTCGATCTTCGTTAATAGAAGTGTGCATGGACTATATATATAAGTCTGTTGAATTGAGCGATTGATCATGGTTCGTTCTTTGGGAATGTTGGCGGGTAGAATTTGTTAGAGTGATATCGTTCACCTTGCCTTAAGGTGACTTAGGGTGACTGGTAAGGCCTGAAAATATTGACTCAAGGCATAATGCGAGTGAGATAGATATTGTAGCAAAGCTATGAGATTGAGAGGCAGCTATTGGTGTTGATGTGGGACCGAATGGCTGTCATTGGATGTTGTGCATTGTGTTGTACCTGGTGCCTTAGTTATAACTAAGACAGTCGCAATTCGGTAGTTATATTTCCTAAGTGTTCGCCCCCTCACATAAACCTGTAAGTTGTGGTCGCTTATCCCTGTTTTGCTTTTTGTCTTCCCGGGTTCACGAGATCCATACTTACAATCAAAACCCAGTCCGGATTCTTTGGTGAAGAGGGTATACGGAGTACAAGAAGTATAACATGTGAAACCCCCTGATTTCTTCCCCAGCACAGATGAAACACCCTTTTTGATCGTCAAAAAAAAGAAGAAAAAAAAGAAAACTGGCTTTCCCGCCCCTGACGTCAGAGACCCCTGGGACCCACTTCGCTGCCCCAGGCCCACGATTTGCCAAATGCGGTCATCCGAAAACGGACATTTCAGGGGTTTTAGGGGTTGAGATTTAATGGTGTAGGAATACTGGGAATACTATAATATATATAAGTTAATACACTAATTCCTTACTCGATATAGTAACTAAGGACTGTATAAATGGATGTGGAAATATGATATCGTACTATGTACTCCGTACATAAAATAGATCAAACCATTCAAATATAAAAAGAGGTCCAGGCTTTTTCGGTTGGATCTGTCGAATAGCTTGTCTCGCCCTCTTTACACGCGTTATATGTCTTGGCATATGCGTGGTGACCCAGAAAGTGGAGAATTCAATGAGCCCTAACTTACCCCGAAAACAATTGATCTTATATTATTCGACATCATCCGTTGCTGATCTATTGCTGATCTCTTGCTGATCTGTCGTTTTCACTCAGTCTAATACAACAATTCAATCTGTGTTGTATCCAATACTGATCCCACTCAACCGTGAATTGTTTAACTTTGCCCGCACACAAACAATATCGGCCCATACTCGGCTCGGTGGCGAACGATTTGATAGATCTGGTTGATCGTCGGTCATGTCCTTTTGTAAAAACCAACCAGAAAAAGCTTGCAATTTCTCTTAACTCCACAGAAAAGTGGATAAGGCCCTGAAAACTATTTTTAATATGGAAATTTTGGGGTTGGGGATCCTCTGCCCATACATCATTACGCTGCATCCTCAACCCCCAAACTCCCTTTGACACGCAAGGTCTCGCCCAATTTTCACCTTTAATCGCAACTGTTTTTCCCCTCCACCACCCCCTTGAGATCGATACTATCTATGATTGATCTAAGCCGAAATGCACTTGTCCGGAACATGGGCTATTCTTAATGGCCTCATCGTAACACTCTTCTTTTCAACCTTAACGCCTGCGATCGAATTAGACATCAGCGATGAAGGTACGTCATAGCAGCCTGAATTTATTTTCCGATCAAAGGTGACAAGAGGACTGACTTCGCGATCGCTGGACAGAATCAATCAAAGATGCCGCAAGTACGAGTGTGTACTCCATGATGGGGTGGTATGCCGGCAATGAAACTGGACAAATCCCTGGCGCTTTCCCTGAAAAATGGTGGGAGGGATCTGCTCTTTTCCTTGCCTTGCTCCAATACTGGCACTTCACCGGTGACACGACCTATAACTCTTTGATGAGCGAAGGAATGCAGTGGCAATCAGGTGATAAGGGTGACTACATGC